TAGTACATGAAAATTAAACTGGACTTTGGCAGAAGCAGAAAACATAAAAAACACTGAGTTGGTAAAATTAGTTTTTAGAACAATCATCATTTTCTTTTCTTTTTTTATTTGGTATCTTCCACCCTTTGGGAGGAAAACCAAGCAAAACTTCTACTGGGAGTAAAATAAAAAAACAAAACAAGTCATTTAATTTTTTATTTTTTATTGATTTCAGAGAGGAAAAGAGACGGAGAGAGAGAGAGAGAAACATCAATAATGAGAGAGGATCGTTGATTGGCTGCCTCCTGCATGACTACTATTGAGGATCGAGCCCAAAACCCGGGCATGTGCTCTTGACTAGAATTGAATGCAGGACCCTTCACTCCACAGGCCCATACTCTATCCACTGAGTCAACCTGGCCAGGACAACAACTCATTTTATATATAACAAACATTTATATGTATAACATTGTTTTATTTTCTATATGTAAAATAAGAAAATATGTATATTTATAAAGAAACCAAACCCATATATATTTTATATATATTATATATATGGGCAAGTTTTATTTTGTTTTTCTGTAGTTAAATACAAAAGGTGATCTGTCCATTTCTTCCAAGATGCATACCTCTTAGAGCAGTCTGCCAATTTGAACAATCATCTAGGGCAGTGTTTCCCAAAGTGTGGTACGGGTACCCTCAGGGGTACAGGAAGAGTTTGGTGGGGGTGCGAGTTGCACCGGAGTTTGGTGGGGATATGCACTGCACCATGCTTAGCTGCGCCTAATTCTCCGTTCTCATGAGTACGAGGGGTACTCAGCGTTAGAAAATTATAGAAGGGGTACACATATGTTAAAAGTTTGGGAAAGAGTAATCTAGGGAATGCCCTTCTTTTCTGTGTTGGATTCTATGTTTCTTACATTCCTTGTCTTCCTTTTTCTTAGCTTATTCCATTTATTTATAAGACAACATTCTCTAACAGTGTCCCCCAAAAAAGTAGATGAGAGGTGAAGATTATGAGATCCATTTTATTTATAGACTATTGATTAAATCTTATAACAAATTCCTTGTCCACTTTTTTTTTAATCAATATAGACTTTCCCCCCTTTTTGTGTTATACTCAAGCTGCTACTTCTAGGTTTATATTTTCTCTATTTTTCCACTCCTTCCTTAAATAAGTGAAAGTTGACCTTTGATGAGTGTGTGTGTGTGTGTGTGTTTAACTTTAGATGTATAGAATTATATAATTATTGGTTCATGACATACTCATTGTTCCTTGTGTGGCTCTCTATTATTTATTTGTTGAGTTTTTTAATAATGTAGGAAGGATTTGAAAGCCATCACATTCTTTTAATTTTTAAAACAAAAGTGGGTCCTTGGCCATCACCTACATTTAATTATATAATCTCTCCTTAACCCTTCTCCCTGCCTGCCCTACCCAGATAATCAATTTTCTCAATCACTTGTTCATTCTTTTGTTTTCCTGTTTATATTGTTTTATTGTATCTATACATATCTCTTAAGAGTACCGTATTTTTCGGACCATAAGACGCACTTTCCCCCCCCCAGAAGTGGGGGAAAAAGTCCCTGTGTCTTATGGTCCAAATATAGCCTACACATATACTTTAAAAATAAAGTTTTTTTACTTGCCCGGCTCTGTGTGGTCTCTGTGTGCTTGCCCGGCTCTAAAATGGTTCTAAATGCTGCTGTTTACTTTACAGGGTTGATTACATGTGTTTATGACTGTGATGTTGGGTTTTAATGCACATAAAATATTTTAGGACACTATTTGTTTCAGAATCTTTTTTTCTTCATTTCCCTTCTCTAAAAACTGGTGCGTCTTATGGTCCGGAAAATACGGTATGTGTATTTTAGTTGTTTTTAGCTTGATGATCTATTTTTAATTTTATAATCTGTATGTAGTCAACTGTTTATATTTAAATTTCTTGTGTATTTATCGTATATCAAGACACTTGACTAAGGTCTATCCTGGTAATAGCTGGAAAACCTGCTGCTCCTGGTATTGCTAAGAGAACACATCACGACTTTTCCCAAGAATGTCAGTTATTCTATTGCAGAATCTTCTGTTTTCTATGTAAATTACCATATTCTCAAATAATGATAGTTCCTTCTTTGCAATTTTAATACCTCTATAACTTCCCCCTCATTTTATTGTACTTGTTAGGAAATCTAACACAGTCTTTTACATTTATGGGTTTTCTAAAATTAAACCATCTTTGCATACCTGGAACAAACTCAGGCTGGTCATGGAAAAATATATGTATTTTTTTTACTAATATTTGCCCATCCTTGCACTGATACCCTGCTATTTAGTTATTTTGTTTAGGAATTTTTGCATTTGTAGTCAGGAATAAAATGGACCTAGACTTTTATCTTCATGTAACATCTTTGTCTGGGTTTGGTATCAGTATTACTGTAGCTGGGGAGTTTTATGTTTTTTTCTATTGTCTGGTAGCTTGGTAGACTACTGCCTTGAAAATTAGATGGAACTTGTCTTTAAAAATCATCTGGACCTGCCCCTGCCGTGCCGGCGGGCCGTCTCGTCCAACTGCCTCGCCGCGCGTCGGGACCAGGGTCCGGTGCGGAGAGCCCTTCGTCCTGGGAAACGGGGTGCGGCCGGAAAGGGGGCACCCCTTCACGCAACGCACGTTCTTGGGGAACCTGGCGCTAAACCATTCCTGGACGACCTGCTTCTGGGTCGGGGTTTCGTACATAGCAGAGCAGCTCCCTCGCTGCGATCTATTGAAAGTCAGCCCTTGACATAAGGGTTTGTAAAAAAAATAAATAAATAAATAAAATAAAATAAAATAAAATAAAAATCATCTGGACCTGGCATTTTCTTTGTGGGACGATGTTAATCATACTGTTTTATTTTATTTTTAAAAAAATATATTTTATTGATTTTCCACAGAGAGGAAGGGAGAGGGATAGAGAGCTAGAAACGTCAATGAGAGAGAAACATCTACCAGCTGCCTCCTGCACAACCTCTACTGGGGATGTGCCCGCAACCAATGTACATGCCCTTGACCAGAATCGAACCTGGGACCTTTCAGTCCGCAGGCCAATGCTCTATCCACTGAGCCAAACTGGTTTATTTTGAAAAGTTAAATTACTACAAGGTCAAGGTTGGAGTATAGAAGAAAGGAAGGAAAAGTAGGAATAGAAGAAGATATCTGTTTATTAAACAGTATATAAATATAAAGGACCTTACTTATATCTATTATCTCATTTAATCCTCAAAACAACCTTTCAGAGGGTCTATCAATGTCCAGTCAAGGAAAGAGAAACTGCATTAGGAATTACAATAAAGATGAGATTCATTAGTGAGAATTGGTTACTTGGATGTTAGAAGAATAAAAGAACAAAAAAGGGATACTGAAGTAACCCAGAGTTAATACCTATGGAAAACAATTACCACCCTAGATCTGGGGATCATAAAGGAAGAGGTAGGAGCTTGGAAGAGGGCCCTTGGGGGCTGGTGCTTAGACCTCTGGAAGTAAGCTTTGAGTAGCTGGTGCTCAGATCCCGGAGGAGAAGACCTGGCCTGACAGGCCCAGGCAGCATACCCCAGAGGATGAGTTAGCTTGGCAAGGCAGTATTGACTGTCAGGGAACCACAACCTCATGCTCCTGGAACCTCTGAGAGAATGCATCAAGGCTTTCCCAGGAATGTCAAAAAATGCTAGAAGCTAGAGTTTATTTTCTGTTACATACATGGAGCAATGCTGGTAATGACTGGAAAACACAAAAGAAGTCTCTTTTTTACCTCTCTGTCTTCCCATTGGTAGAATTGAACAATTTTGCAGAGGCTTAGCCCTATTTTCACAGTGCAGAGCATGAAAGAGGGCTTGGAGCTGAGGGACAATAGGTAAATAACTGGAACTGTGAATTCTATGCATATTTTACAAAGAGAAAACTGAAGCTGAGCAAGGTTAAATCATTTGCTAAAACTCATCAGAGCGATTAAGCAGACAGATCTGGAATTTAAAACCCTGTCTGTGCAGTTTCAGTAACTACCGTATTTTTCGGACCATAAGACGCACCGGACCATAAGACGCACCAGTTTTTAGAGAAGGGAAATGAAGAAAAAAAGATTCTGAAACAAATAGTGTCCTAAAATATTTTATGTGCATTAAAACCCAACATCACAGTCATAAACACGTAATCAACTCTGTAAAGTAAACAGCAGCATTTAGAACCATTTTAGAGCCGGGCAAGCACACAGAGACCACACAGAGCCGGGCAAGTAAAAAAACTTTTTTTTAAAAGTATATGTGGGGGGTGAAAAAGTGCGTCTTATGGTCCGAAAAATACGGTATATTTTATCTAACCTAAAACACCATTAATTGTTAGAGGCATCATTGAGGGCAAAAATACTGCCAACTAAATAAATCATACAATTGGTTGTAAGATACATTATAAATTTCAGAGATCTTTTTTTTTTTAAAAAGAGGAACATCTTAAAATTAATGAAATATGGAATGTTATGCTGCCTTGTAAAGAATTTGATTTTGAAACATCTATGGATACACCAGTAAAAACACTTAGTAGACAATTAAAAATGTGGAGTTAAAGCTCATAAGAAAGATGTAGGGTAGAGATACAGAGGAGAAAGGTCATCTGTATGCCAGCATCATGATCAGAAACAGGCTTGCTAATTGTATTTTTGGTTTTAACAGTTGAGTCTGCTATTTCTACCATTTCATTTCATTCCAACCATTGCTTATCTTTTTGTGATGGCACTGTTGCTAAACCTTAATATTATTTTTTTATTATTCAGGAACAGTTTTTTGTTTTTTTGTTGTTGCTTTGATTTCCACAAGCAAAGACCATTTCCCCCCTCCTCTCTTCTATTTAAAAGTATGTGGTCTCCCAGCATGCAGTCTTCACAAGGTGTAGTTGGAAATATTGTTATAAGAAGTGAAAAGCAGGTCTCCAGTGGAGATAGATGGTGTGAAGAAATCCTATTGACAGACGTACATGGTTTCTCTATTTTTATAGGTCCAGCATGTCTGGCTTGCATCTAGTAAGGCAAGGTCGAGACCGAAAGAAAATAGACTCACAGCGAGATTTCACTGTAGCTTCGCCAGCAGAATTTGTTACTCGTTTTGGGGGGAATAAAGTAATTGAGAAGGTAAGTTTTGTAACCTGCTAACGCACTTTTCCAAAGTATATGAGATTTAATGCCTAGAATTGTTGTCTAGATTTGCTCAAAACTGATATTTAGACTTTCAGAGACCTTGCCTCTTCATGTGAAGTTATCCTTTCTACCTCCCTAGCATCATATTAAATAATTTTACTATTTTCTGTAATATGTATTAACTACTGATAATTTAGTCACAGCTAATAAGATGATGAAGCAGTGCTCATCAAGTTCTTTTTAAAAGATCTTGTGATTTTACAGGGTTGGGCTGCACTGATCTGAGAGGCTATGAGAAATCATTTAACTTGTGGGGTGGTGGTGAGGAGATAATGTCATAGCAGTGGGCTTGGAGCTAAGGAAGTAGAGACTTTCAGAAGAGAAAGTTTTAAACAGTTTGATACACTGACTGACTGGCTTCCACCATGTATTTGAGATGTTTAGAGGGAATACACCACATGAAATACTTAGAGATTACACGCTTTTTTTTTTTTTTTTATTTTTTTTTTTTATTTTTTTTTTTTTTATAATATATTTTATTGATTTTGTACAGAGAGGAAGGGAGAGAGATAGAGAGTTAGAAACATCGATGAGAGAGTCATCGATCAGCTGCCTCTTGCACACCCCCTACCGGGGATATGCCCGCAACCAAGGTACATGCCTTTGACCGGAATCAAACCCGGGACCTTTCAGTCCCCAAGCCGACGCTCTATCCATTGAGCCAAACCGGTCCCGGCAGAGATTACACGCTTTTTAAAATATAAACTCTGTGTCACTTTTATCTAAACCATGTCAGAGCTAAGCGAATGACTGGGTTGAAATAGTTTATAGTGATTAAAAGATTAAAGGATGGGGACCTACATTCCCACTCCTTAAAGTATTGCTTCAGCGGTGTCCTTCTGTTAGTCTTCCAATAAAGATAGATTATATGTCTCCTAGCCCGTATTATCCTTAGAGGCATGATTGCAAGACAGGTAATGATAGGTTTGTTACAGAGAAGTCTCAGGATCCTTGATTATTCTCTTGTGACCATTCTGAGGCAGGCTCTATAATTCTAAGGCATTTGGGGTTTGGCATTTTGGAGAGAAGTGGTGGTTGGTTCCAGGTTCTTATACACATTCAGGGTACTCTGCCTTATTTTACTACAAGGGAGAATAGTGCATATGACACTCACCGTTTGGTCTTCCTCCATCCTTATTTATAATACACCATCTCTCTTAAGTTTCTGTTCTCTAGTAATTGGTTTAGTAAAATAATTCACAAACTCACAAGATTCGAGTAATTGTGATTTTTTTTCCTTCAAAAAATGAAGTTATGGGCCTGGCAGATGTGGGTCAGTGGTTAGAGTGTTGGCCTGTGCACTGAAGGGCTCCGGGTTTGATTCCTCGTCAAGGGGATGTACCTGGGTTGCAGATTCGATACCCGACTCTGGTTGGGACACCTGTGGGAGGCAACCAATTGATGTGTCTCTCTCACATTGATGTTTTTCTCTCTCTCTGTCCCCCTTCCATCCTCCTTTCCTTCTAATCTCCCTTCGACTCTCTCTAAAAATCAATGGGAAAAATACCCTTGGGTGAGGGTTTAATAATAAAAGAGAGAGAGAGAGAGAGAGAGAGAGAGAGAGAGAGAGAGAGAGAGAGAGAGAGAAAGAGAGAGAAATGAAGTTATGCCCAGTCCTGTTGACTCAGTCGGTTGAGTTTTGTTCTATGCACTGAAGGGTCGCCAGTTCAATTCCTGGTCAAGGCACATGCCCAGGTTATGGGGTTTTCAATCCCCAGTCAGGGTGCATACAGGCGGCAACTGATTTATGTTTCTCTGTCACATCGATGTTTCTCTCTCTAACCATCCTCTCTCTCAAAATCAATTTAAAAAAAATATATCGTTGGGTGAGGATTTTTAAAAGAAGGAAGTTAGAAAGGAAAAAGGTTGAGTCAGGCACATATTGAAGTATTTCCTTAGCTAACATTTTAAAATAACCCTTGGTTATGTGGGAGTTAGTTCTTAAGTACCTAGACCAGCAATACAAATTCCTATTGAAAATCTGCCTTTTCAGAATAAGATAGACCTACAAAATTGTCTCACCTCTTTTTCTCCATCATTGCTTGTTTTTTCTATTTTTTTTCTCCAATTCCCATCCCTTAATTCTCCCAGGTTCTTATTGCCAACAATGGCATTGCAGCAGTGAAATGCATGCGGTCTATCCGTCGGTGGTCTTACGAGATGTTTCGAAATGAACGTGCAATCAGATTTGTTGTCATGGTTACTCCTGAAGATCTTAAAGCCAATGCAGGTGAGTTATTTGCATTAAAAAAGCATCACTCTAGACTCATTGACTACCACAGCCTGTAGTTAGGAGAATGGTAACTTAAGAGGAGTCTCAAACCAAAAGATCTTTTAAAAAGTGTTAGTAATATGAATGTACAAGTGATAGTGCAATATTTAACCTCAACACAGACTGTTGTGTTCTAGGTAAAAGTAGGTAGACATTGAACGAAAAGTGTTGATTTGGGTTTTCAGGTGTATGCCTTTTCACTATCAAGTATTTGCTAAGCCACATACTTTAACATGTATAAGTGGAAAGGTTTGGAAGGAAATACTATTTCCCGTATGAGCCACAGTGAATTTTTTCCCTTCTGAGAGAGAGCCCTCTTGGGACCCAAGTGGGTTTCACTCTGCAAGCTCTTTTGCACATTCTCTCTACTTGGTATGTCCTCCAGCTGAGAGAGTTGGGTTAGCTGAGAGGTTGTGGCTTTCCTCTTCATGCTTTTTATCACTAAAGCATAATCTCTACGTTAGAGTACTCACAGATAACAGCTTTATAAATAGCAATCTTTTTTTTTTAATGTTTTATTTCTTTATTTTTATTTTTTTAATAAATTTTTATTGTTCGTATTATTACAAATGTTCCTTCCTCCCCCCTCCATTGTTCTCCTCCACCAGGTTCCCACCCCACCCTCTGCCCTTTCCCCACCCCACATTGTGCTCATCCATAGGTGCACAGTTTATGTTCAGTCTCTTCCCACATCCCCCTCTCCCCTTTTCCCCAAGAATTGTCAGTTCACTCCCCTTCCATACCTCTGTTTCTATTATATTCAACAGTTAATATTGTTCATCAGATTTTTTTTTTAATTTCCTTGGTTTTTAGATTCACTTGTTGGTAGATACGTATTTGTTGTTCATAATTTTTATCTTTATTTACTTTCTCTTCGGAAAGAACCCCCTTCAGCAATTCATATAATTCTGGTTTGGTGGTGATGAACTCCTTTAGCTTTTTTTTTTATTAGTGAAGCTCTTTATCTGGCTTTCGATTCTGAGTGATAGCTTTGCTGGGTAGATTATCTTTGGCTGTAGGTTCTTGCTATTCATCACCTTGAATATTTCTTGCCATTCCCCTCTGGCCTGCATGGTTTCTGTTGAGAAATCAGCTGACAATCGTATAGGTGCTCCTTTATAGGTAACTACCTGCTTTGCTCTTGCTGCTTTTAATATTCTCTCTTTGTCTTTTGCTCTTGGAATTTTAATTATGATTTGTCTTGGTTTGGTCCTCTTTGGATTCCTTTTGTTTGGGGTTCTGTGTGCTTCCTGGACTTGTAAGTCTAATTCTTTCACCAGGTGGGGTAAGTTTTCTGTCACTATTTCTTTCAGTATGTTTTCGATATCTTGCTCTCTCTCTCATCTTCTGGGACTCCCATAATTCTGATGTTGGTTCTCTTGAAGTTGTCCCAGAGGTTTCTTACATTATCTTCAATTTTCTGGATTCTCTTGCCTTCTTGCTTCTGCGGAGGAGTGTCTTCTTTATGTTCCAAATCTTTGACTTGATTCTTGCGATCTTCCCTTCTGTTTTTAGGACTCTGTAAAATATTTTTTATTTCAGACAATGTATTCTTTATTTCTTGTTGATCCCTTATCATTTCTTGATGACTCCTTATTAATTCTAGTTGATCCCTTTTCATATTCTCATAGGTCTTATCGACCTTTTCTAGGAAATTCTTGAAAAACCTTATAAGCGTAGATTTGAACTCTATATCCAGTCGCTTTTTGTCCTCCATTTCTTTTGTTTGTGATCTATTTCGTCTTGGCATTTTCGCAGCTTCCCTGATGGGGCGGGGTTTCAGGGTGGACCTTACAGCCTTGGCTTCCATCAGCCCCACCGTATGCGGTTCCTGAGTCTCAGTATTCCTTAGGGTCGGTCCTTCAGTACTCGCTGCAAGCACCTCTGGGAGAAAGGAGCCCTCGATTTTCGCCTGCTACCAAACAGTCTAGGCTCTCCCGCAGTGAGCCCGAAACTGGGGTTCAGTTCAGTTGGAAGTGGATTTGGAGGTGGTGTTCAGAGCAGTCTGGAGCCCCTGTCTCCTTCCCGCCAGGGCAATCCTGCGGCACAGCCAACCATCCCTTCTCTGCGCGTAATGTGCGCGTCTCCGGGACCTCCTTTCGCCGCTCCCCCGGGGTTCCGCCTTACAGCCCAGCTCCCTCTGTTTGAGCCTGGGTCCTCGGGGTCTGGCCTAGAACTGGGGTTCAGAGCAGTCGGAACTGGGGCCCAGCACAGTCGGAGCTTTTATCTCCTTCCCGCTAGGGAATGCCAACCAGGCACTCAGCCGCCTCACCCTTCCTCTCTGGCTCTGTCCTCTCTGCGCGCCGTGTGTCTCCGTACCTTAGGCTTTTACAGCTCCTCCGCGCTTCCTTCTGGTTTTCTCCTTGCTTCTCGTTGTAGAATTTCCAGTCAGTCAACTTTCCTGTAGTTCTGGGTAATGTCCATTTTATATTTTAGTTGTATTTTATTGAAATTGTTGTGTGCGGCTGCGGCTAGGTGTTTACCTGTGCAGCCATCTTGGATTCTCTCCAAAGAGCGATCTTTTTAAAACCATTTTGTTTTGTATATGCGCGCTCTCTCTCTCTCTCTCTCTCTCTCTCTCTCTCTCTCTCTCTTTTTTTTTTAAATATATTTATTGATTTTTTACAGAGAGGAAGGGAGAGAGATAGAAAGTTAGAAATATCTATGAGAGAGAGTCATCGATCTGCTGCCTCCTGCATGCCCCGTACTGGGGATGTGCCCGCAACCAAGGTACATGCCCTTGACTGGAATCGAACCCGGAACCTTTCAGTCCGCAGGCCAACACTCTAGCCACTGAGCCAAACCGGTTTTGGCTTGTTTTGTATATGCTCTCTATTGAGACAGTGATGCTAAGACTAGGTGTAAGGTGTATTATGCTATCTTATTTAGAAACAGAAGGCACCAATTTATTGGAAAGCTGATAATATGTGAAAACGTTTAGATTGACCCTTTAACATCTCTGAGCCACAATTTTTACAACTATAAAAGTATGATCATAATGTCTAGTTCACTATAAAGATGAAATTGTCTATCATAAATGTCAATTACCTTGCATTATTTCTTTTCCTTCACGTACTTCTACCTCAATGGTCGGCAAACTCATTAGTCAACAGAGCCAAATATCAACAGTACAACGATTGAAATTTATTTTGAAAGCCAAATTTTTTAAACTTAAACTTCTAACGCCACTACTTCAAAATAGACTTGGCTGTGGTATTTTGTGGAAGAATCACACTCAAGGGGTCAAAGAGCCCCATGTGGCTTGCAAGCCAGTTTACCGATCACGGTTCTACCTAATGCTCCCATTAATTCATTTATTTGTATTCAGTAAACATGGGGATCTACAGTTGGATAAGATGTGATCTTGCTCTAGGAAACCAATAATTTCATTACTTTGAGATCAGTGCTATAATATAAATATGCATAGTGTATTATAAGAATATAGAAATGAGATATCTTTACTCTGCCCCATGCTCTTGGGGGCAGGATTAAGATAAAGCTTTCTGAAGAGATTTTGCCTATCCAAAATTGAGTGAAAATTAATGAAGCAATTAGGGAGAAGAAAAAGTGTTTCAGGCAGAGGGAACAGTATATGCAAATATTTGAAGGTGTGACAGTCATTTTCTGGAAATTATAGGTGGCTTGGTAAATTACAAAATGTGATCTATCGATAGTATTCTTCAAGAAGGACCTTGTTTTTCATCATCAAGGGCATAGACTTAATCTTTTTAGGTGTGTGTGTGTGTGTGTGTGTGTGTTGAACATTAAAGGATTTGTATTTAAGTAGATTAGTTGATTTTGATGATTCAAAACTAGAAGAATATAATGAACCCCTTTCCATCTGTCTGTCATCCAGCATCAATAATTATCAACAGCCAGTCTTGTTTCATCTATACTTTCACTTTCTCTTCCACACAATCTTTGAAGCAAATCCTAGACATGATTTTATGTGTAAATACTTTACTATGTATCTCTAAAAGAGAGATACATTTTTAAAAACATGAATAATTAGATGATTCAGGAAGCATCTGGGAATATACGTTTGTGGAAGGCAAATATAAAGGATATAAGACTGAGACTAGAGAAGAACAGGATGGTTTAGAGAGTTTTAGGAGGTAAAATTAACAAGATTTGGTGATTGAATGAAGAGTCAATGATTATAGTTGGATTTCTAATTTGGTTGACTAGGCAGGTACTAGTACCATCAAGTAGGGCAAAATAATAGATGACGTAGCAAGAAGATTAAGTTTTATGGTGGGACAGATTAGGTATGGAGTACTTGTGGTACAAGTAGACTCTATAATTCCTACAAAAAAATGGAATATATCCTTCCAAAACTTAGAAATAATAACAGCCAGAGATTAAGAGTTTACATAATCAGTTAACACTACTCACTGAAAGAACAGATAGAAAACAAAGAGAAGAGGGCTAAGAAAACTTTATGGAAGGCTAGGATATAGGATAGATTCAGGAAGGTAGACCCATAAACAATACTGAGAAGGAGTGATCAGAGAGATGGGAGAAGCAGAAGAGAATAGCAAAAAGAAAGAATTTCAATAAGAAGGGTCAAATGTGTCAGCAGTTCAATAAAGTAGGAAGAGAAATCTGTCTAGCAATTATGAAACCATTGATATTTGCAAGAATAGTTTTAGCACAGTATGAGTATGCAGACTAATATAGAATTTTAAGTAATGAATGGGAAGTGACATGGAGATAGCCAATGTGGACAAATTTTTAAAGAATTTGAATGAGAAGGGAAGAAGAAAGGGTAGTAACTAAAGAGAAATTCAGGGTCATGGGATAATTTTAATTTTTCTGAGTGAAAGAGACTTGGGAATATTTATAGTTTAAGAAGAAGGAGCCAAAGAGGGAGAGGGGTACAAGTATACAAGAGACTTAGAGGAGGTGGGAGAGGATTAGATCAAGAACACAAGAACAAAAGTATGCATAACTTTTGACCAAGAAATTGTATTTTCTTGTATTTATTCTGAGGCAGAAAAAAATCAGTAATTTGGGCAAATGTATTTATATAAGAATAATCATTTATTAAAATAATCAGAAACTGGGAGTAATTTAAGTGTCCACCATCAGTGGATTAGTTAAGTAAAGTGTGTTAAACTAATTCTATAAAATACCATGCAGCCATTAAAAAAATTGCATTAATTTGTCTGAGAATGCATTCTGTTAAATTGCTGTATTATTTATCTATTGTTGTGTAACAATATTACCACAAACTTAGCAGCTTAAAACAACTGACATTTATTATTTCACAGTTTCTGTAGGTCAGGGTACAGCTGAGCTGGGTCTTCTGCTTTAGGTTATCATAAAACTGCAAGTCAGTTGTCAGTTGGGGTTGCAGTCTCATCTGAGCTCAACTTTGGAAGGATCTGCTTTAAGCTCACATGATTGTTGGCAGCATTCAGTTTTCTGTGGGTTCCCAGACTTGGGGCCTGAATGCTTAGCTGGTTATTGGCTAGAGGCTACTCTTGGCTCCTTGTCACGTGGGCCATCCCAAAATGACTGCCTTCTACCTCAAAGCCAGCAAGGGAAAGTATTAAATTTGGTTACATTCGTATGTAATGTTATCATGGAAATGACATCTCATATTTATTGTATTTTCTTAGCCAGAAGCAAGTCACACCCAAGGAGAGTGAATTACTTAAAACATGAATACCTGGAGACTGGGTTCCTAGGGGCAGACACTTAAGTGTCTGTTAATCACAATTTCCAAGAAGAACATTGTCCATAAGGAAATTGATAGTGTGATATAATAATAGGAAAAAAGTACATCGTGTATAGTAAAAAAAAACACAAAAAGATATAATACCAAAACAATAATACTAGTTATCTGTGGGAGTGAAATTTTGGGGTGTTTTTATTTCTATTTATGCTCCTGCTTTTTCCAACCTTTTTTACTTAGAGTTTAGTTTGTATAATCTTATACTTTACTTAAAAGTTATTTACAGAATAGTGCTCTAGAAAGCATTAAAATATCAATGATATTAAATTAAGGAATCAGTATTTTTTAAAAATATATTTTTATTGATTTCAGAGAAAGGAAGGGAGAGGGAGAGAGATAGAAACAGTGGTTATGAGAGAAGATTGTTGACTGGCTGCCTCCTGCATGCCCCCTACTGGGGACTGAGCTGGCAACCTGGGCATGTGCCCTCACATGGAATCAAACCGTGACCTCTTAGTTCATGGTTTGACACTCAATCATTGACACACTGGCTGGGTAAGATTTTTTTTTTTTTTAAGGACTTAAAGCCTTTAAAAGTTAAGAACAAGATATAAGAAAAGTTAATATATATGTATGTTGGAAATGGACCTTGAGCAAGTTATTTAGCTACTCCAGATCATAATTTTCTACAAACTGGGTGTTAATATTACATATCATTTGTGGACTTAAATGAAATATATATGTAAGTGTTTATTAGTGCAATCCTACACATTATAGCTTCTCTGCTACAGTTGTTGCCAGAATAGGAAGAGAGAGACATCAGGTGACAAGTTTAAATGGGAATACTGAGCAGAAAAAGTAATGTGAGGTAATGAATGTATCTTTTTAAAGTGTCTTTTAAATATCTGTTATTGCTAACATTCCAGATAAAACCTTTTTAAACACCTTGGAGACTCTGGTAAATATCCTTTCCTATTTAGCCAGTCTACAAACCCTCCAGACTCTTCCTTCTGTCCCCATTCTGTCTTAGCTCTACAACAAGAAAAGGGCTTTCTCAGAATATAGTACAAAGTAAAGATAGAACTTTTTCCCATAATAGAATAATTATACATGGGCCTCTAAGTCACAGACACATTATTTTTGATATAGGGGTCATGAAGACCCTTCAGAAAGGTCACTTAGTGAAATGTTTGATAACTGATATTTTAGTGTAAAGAACTTCCTGAATATGAGATTAGTGCATATTAGTGACTTAATAAAGTCAGAGCCTTCAAATAAGTGGTTCAGGAAATTACCCCATTAATGCAGTTTGTCTTTTGGTTACTTATGATGGTCCTTTACGTAGTCTTGCTCTGTGTAATATTTCAGAAACTAAAGCATGTGTTCTCTATTAATTTGCTTACATTTTCAGAGTACATTAAGATGGCAGATCACTATGTACCAGTGCCAGGGGGACCAAACAACAACAACTATGCAAATGTTGAATTAATTCTTGATATTGCTAAAAGGATCCCAGTTCAAGTAAGAGATGCCATTGTATCCTTTAAAGCCAAATTTATACGTTGCAGCATTATTTACAAGATATGGAAGCAACCTAATTACCCTTCGATAGATAAATGGTTAAAGAAGTGGTGCATGTATACAATGAAATATTACTCAGCCATAAAAAAGAATGGAATTTGCAATTTATGACAACATGGATAGAATAAGAGGGCATTATGCTAAGTAAATAAGTAAGACAGAGAAAGATAAATACCTAATAAAACTGAAACAAACTGACAAATACAGAGAATATTTTGATGATTGCCAGAAGGGATGGGGGTTGGCACATCGATGAAAAAGGAGAAGGGATTAAGACATACAAATTGCCAATTATAAAAACAGCCATGGGGATGTAAAGTACAGCAGAGAGAATATAATCAACAGTTAATAATACTGTAATAACTATGTATGGTGTGAAGTAAACATGAGATTTACATTATATATAAATATATAATCATCTGAAACTAATAGAATATTGTATGTCAGTTGTATTTGAAAATTTTTAAGTTAAAAAAAAGGAAAATGTTTATACTTTAAAGATGTTATTCAGAGTCAGCACTATAGTTCATATATGAAATAATATTTACACTTGCCAAATAAAACTATTGCATATTATGGTTTATGATGCTTCACTGTTTTAATAAACAAAAAATCTGCAAGTGGTTACAGAAAACAATAGATTTAGTGATTTTACAGTTAAGCACAAGGGGATGTCCAAAAACGAACTTTCAATTTTATAGAAAGCATCTTTGTTGAAAATTTATAAATGCCTTTATGTAAAATATAACCAACAAGGAAAGGAAAAGTGGAAAGATGCATTTAGTCAAAATAAACACTACAAATAGGAGGTTTGTAAGGGTTCCCCTTCCCCCGTGATTATTTATTCTATCCATTTCACCTTCAAACAGTTTCCAATGGAATATTCTTTGCCCAGAATATGATGGTGTATTCCCACTGGAGTATTCTTAGCCCAGAATATGGTAGTGTAGAAGTAGCTCATTCCTTCCCTATTATTTGTATGAGGAAATTTGGGTTAATGTTTTAAAGCCCAAAAAGAAAAAAAGCTCATGATTTGTAGGGCATTATAACTACTAGATATAAAGGTTGAGTTGTATGGCCAAAATAATTGAATCTGTGAAGGAAAACCAATATTTCTATAGAGTCTAGAAAAGGCTCTATAAAGTCTAGTTGAAAGGCTAATATTTAAATTTCCTAAAAAGCAATAAGACTAGCTGGGTATTAATATCAATTTCAACTAAGATTTGACTTCTTTAGAGGTTTTGCCACAATGGATACTCATTGTTCTGTAAGAAGTTTGCCAAGAATTAAGCATAGAAGCAGAATTAAGTATTAGGCTGCTGTGGAACTATTGTACCTCATGGAGTAGGGCCCAGACTTAGTAGAGAATAATAGTTACATGTTTTTGTTTTAAATATGAATTTTAAGGATGAATCATATTGTGTTCCCTTGTAGGCAGTATGGGCTGGCTGGGGTCATGCTTCTGAGAATCCCAAGCTCCCAGAACTTCTTTTGAAAAATGCCATTGCCTTCATGGGTAAGTCTTTCTGACATACTGTTTCTGTCTTTCTGTTCCTCTCTGTCAATTTTGCTCATATTCTACTCTATATTCTGCTTTTCTTCTGTTTAACATTCTCTTATTTTTTATCAGTCAGCAACTCTGAATAACCTCTTCATTATTTTGTTTTCCCTTCCTTGCTTCATATACCCTGCTTATATCTCTGCATCTTGTTTTGTTTTCTGTCCCTAGGTTCTTTTCCATGAGATGTTGAGGAGGCTCTGATTTCCAAAACCCTGTTTTTAAAAATGTTACCATTAACCTAGGAAAAGATATGGAAAACATATTTTTATATAGCAAAGATAATTGAATACTTAGGATACCCTAGCAGTGTACCCTTAAATATGAATCAGCCCCTTCACATTTAAGCATATACTAGTAGATTATACTAGGGGCCTAGTGCACCTTGAAAGGAACTGTGGGTGCAAGGCTATGGTGGGCACAGGGGCAAATCTCGGCCCATTCTTCCCGCTCCTGCCCGGGCACCTCCCTCTGCGGTCCTCAGCAGTGGGTGTGAGAAGTGGCTGCCAGCCCTGATTGCCCCTCAAGAGCAGGTAGAGAAGTCCCAAGGGGCGAACGGGGCCAGTGCCAGGCACTGGCAGAGGGTGTGAGCGGTGGGCTCTGGCGCTGGTAGTGGGTGCGAGCACTAGGCACAACCACAGCATGCAGGAGCAGAGAATTTTTAGTAACCACCAGAGGCTTGTCCTGATGACAGTAACTGGCACCCTACCTTGTTCCAGTGCCCCCACTCACCTCCTCCACCATCCTACCACTGCTGATGCTCACTATGTTTCGAGTGCACCCCCTGATGGTTAGCACACCTTATAGCGATCGGTTGTTCTGTTATTCTGCGGTTCGGTCTATTTGCATATTAGAATTTTATATGTATAAATTCCTGAGAGCTCTGTCTTCTATCTTTTCTGCTCTCATATGGCAGAAAGAGAAGTAGAGGTTATATGGCTCAAAGCATTTCTCTGTCTTAGAGACATTCCACAATGATGACTGTGCTTTGTAAACCCTATTAAAGTTAAATCTTTCTTTTTGGTTCCCCTAAGACCAAGGAAAGGATAATATATATATTTCAGACTTGAACACCAAAACTTAATGTAGGATATTGGTTAAAAAAGAAAGATTTTATTAATCTGGTAAAGTTGAATTATAAAGGATAATAAAATGAGAGTTAGATTGGTCAGGAATTTAGCATATATATTAAGCTCTCATTGTGTATTAAAAGCTTACTACATTAAGATCTATAAAGGGAACAAAGATGAGTTAAAACATAGAATCCCCTTTAATCAAGTTTATGATCTCCATTATATGTAAGGGAGACAAGAAAAATACAAAAGTAATTATATAGAAGACAAATAAATGTGTTAGAAATGAGGCCAAAATGTTAGTCAAGCTTCTTTTCTTGTTTTATTTTTTAGGTCCTCCAAGCCAGGCCATGTGGGCTTTGGGAGATAAGATTGCATCTTCCATAGTGGCACAAACTGCAGGTATCCCAACTCTTCCCTGGAGTGGCAGTGGTAAGAAACTTTCTTGTTTTTATCTTGAAGTGCAGAAAGGTTCAGTAGATATTTGGAACTGTGACTTGGGACATAAGTTTATTTGAAATGTTGGGATACTTGGTAAATAGAATCCAGGTTGATAATGGTATCTTGTATCTCCAGGCTTAATTAATATATCTGTGATTTTATCATGTCTTAGGAATATAAATTTTTACCAGGTATACTAAATGCTACACTAGTATTTGAGTGATCTTGGGATTTAATTTGAAGAAACTCTGGGAAAACTCGTGCTTCTGTGGATTCAGATCACCTCTGGGTAGGCTAGAACATTTCTCAGAGATGGATTTTGTGGGCAGAATTAGGCCTTTAGGCCTTTGAACTGGCCTGGGAAGTGACCTGGATCACTAAGAACATTGAAACCCACCTCTCATTCAAACACTGCCTGCCAGTGGTATTTCTTCTTCTTCTTTTTCTTTTTAATGTCAGCCCACAATGTATTGATGATTTGCTTTTCCTGTTTAATACCATTTAACTCCTCAGTTGCCTTTGATATAGAAAATGAAATCAGTAGTCATTTCTTCCAGGCATGTAGAAGGATAAAATTTTTTTCAAAATGATTTATTCTTTTTAAAAAATAATATATTTTTATTAGTTTCAGAGAGGAAAGGAGAGGAGGGGAGAGAGAGAGAGAGAGAGAGAGAGAGAGAGAGAGAGAGACAGACAGACATCAGTGATGAAAGAGAATCATTGATTGGTTGCCTCCTGCATACCCCCTACTGGGGATTGAGCCTGAAACCCTGGCATGTTCCCATGACCACAATTGAACCTGGGACCCTTCAGTTTATAGGCTGATGCTCTATCCACTGAGCCAAACCGGCGAGGGCTAAAAATGATTTATTCTTGACAAATTCCTCTAAGAGTGACATGTGAATTATAATAGCTGATAGTACTATGAACTTCCCTTTTTTTAGTACTCAAGCACAGGGGGCAGACATACACTAAAATCTCTTCCAAATAGGAGTGACCATTGTCTTGAGGCTGAACAGATTTGAACTCTTGTTACTCTTGCTTTCCAGGGGAATTGCAATATCCTCTCCAGACCTGCTGGGTCAAACAGTTTAAAATAAAAGGTTGAGTTCTTGTTTGAATGGAGAAGCTATAGCATTCCCCTTGTGGCTGAGTAAGGGACATTCAGGGAGCATGGAATCATGACTCTACTGAGGCCAATAAAACTGCCATTTCCATTTCCAAGGGCTCATAAAGATTGAATTATTTCCCAGACCTCTGGCCCTGGAGCAGGCCTGAACACACAAATCGAAGGTATTTTGCCTGCTGTATTGCTGTGAGAAGCCTGACATGCTTTTTTTTCTTTTTTTTTTTTTTCTTTTTCCTTGTATGTCCTTGTATTTTTATACGTTGCTTCCTGTTAGCTCTCCTGGATTTTTCCAGTGTAAGGCCCTGCTTACATTGGAAACCCAAGTTGCCAGGTCCTGCTGTAGGTAAATACTGTTAACCCAAGGACTGATCAGGATTCTATGGTATCCTTCTATCTCCCATCTATCCCCAATGTGAGATCATTTTAAAGAAGGTATAACAGAAAATTGACAAGAACAGAAGCTCTTATAGCTGCATTTAAGTCACTGTTATCTATTGTAGGTCTTCATGTGGACTGGCAAGAAAATGATTTTTCAAAACGTAACTTAAATGTTCCCCAAGAACTCTATGAAAAAGGCTATGTGAAGGATGTGGATGATGGGCTAAAGGTAGGTTATTAACTTTAGGAAGTGATTTCAACTGACCAATTATATCAGGAATGTAGTGATCTGGAGCCTGATTCATGATACAGACTCATGATGGCATCAGGAGGTATAGTTTATAGAGTGAAGAAGTGACCTACATACAACAAAAATAATTTAAATTAGTTTTGAAGCAGTCCTTTCATTTAGAACATTTCTTACGTTGCCAAATCGTTTAGTGTGTATGTGGGCGAGGAGGGGCAACGAATAATACACTTTGTCCCTGCTTGAGTTCAGAACCAAGAAGCCAGGCAGATAGAGATCAACATGTCAGCTTTATTAGAAATAGAGAGATGTTGGTGAAAGTGGCTTAAGTATATAGCAACAATCAGATTTGTAACTCGAATGTCAGTTAAACGGGCTCACCCACTAGTTACTTGTGGTACCACAGACTTCCGTCTACAACAACATAGCTTTTACCATTCAGCATGTTGAATGACTCAGAGCTGACAAAGAGCATATGTTTTGAGCAGTGGGCTAATCTCAAAGGGTAAAGAGGCTGAGCTACGCGTGCTCAGTTCCTCTTTCCAAACCTACCAATCACATAATTTACTATTTTTCCTTTGGGGAGGAGTGAGGGAGTGAACCAAGAGAGGCTGAAAGTATTACTCTACGATTATTGTCCATCCATGTAGAAACATGAATTCAGGCAAAAGGAGATTCTTCCTTCAACATAATCTTTCTTTCCTCTATAGTTTAGTTTGTTCCCCTTTCACTTTTTAATTAGTTGGAAATGTCAGGTATGCCTCTAGGTAGATGAAGAAACTATTTTAGAAAAATACACTATTTTATCTGACTTATATGTTATAAACTCAAGAAGAACACTGAATGCTCAGCTAATTTCACTGTATTATTTACATTTTAAATTAAGCATCCTGTAATGTCCTTAATAAGAATTAATATTTATAATTGAACTGGAAATGCTATATTCTGTTTGCTGTAATTTGTAAGAATGGGAGCTTAGCTATTTTGCTTATCAATTAAAATTCTTTTTTGTTGTTGATAATTATAAATACAAAATTATCTGGTAGAAAATTTGAAAAGCTAGATAAAAGATGATAAAACCACCCCTGTTTTCTTCCAGCCATTTTTTAAAAAAAATATATTTTATTGATTTTATACAGAGAGGAAGGGAGATAGAGAGTTAGAAACATGGATGAGAGAGAGTCATCGATCAGCTGCCTCTTGCACACTCCCTACCGGGGATATGCCAGCAACCGAGGTACATGCTCTTGACCGGAATCGAACCCGGGACCCTTCAGTCCCCAAGCCGACGCTCTATCCATTGAGCCAAACCGGTCCTTAGCCATTTTTTTATTTATAGATTCATAATGATAGTCTTCATTAATAAATTTTCATAATTATTATAAAATTAAGTCTTACTGTATATATTTTAATATGCTTGTTTTTTTCTTACTTGATATTGTATATAAGCATTTTCATCATGGCATTAAGATTCTTCTAACATATTTTAAATGGATGACCTGTGCCTAGAGCATATATTTTTTAAAGGTCTACTTTCTTACATACTGACATTATGTAGCCTATCTTACCTTTTATCTCTTTTCTGTATTTGTGGTTGTCTCTTTAATCACTTATAACCTTATAACGCAGTGATTGAGTTCATCATCCTAACCGTTTATAAGAATAGAAATAAATAAACTTAAGTGAATTTTAGAAGAGACTATGATAGAAAAGTTTTCATGCTTAATCTAGTGACACAGATTAAAATTTGAAATGGTGTTTTTTTTCTGGTGACACATTGTTTAGATATTGCTATACTAAACCTAAAAGATTGGAATGTCTTGATAAAGGAATGACTTGTTTATTTTGAACTCGTGGTTAACTTCCCCCATTTACTTTTTGCCTTAGCTGATTGAAGTTCCTCTCTCACATCAATGTTTTTCTCTCTTCCTTCCTCTTTGTCTACAATTTAATGAAATCCTCAGGTGAGGATTAAAAAATACGTGGGCATATGAATGCATATGCAATCATACTTAAACATAAAGGCAATTTCTCTGGATTCAACCAGGAGAATTATAAATATTGTCCTATTACTTCTTTTACTTAACAACATATCTTTAAGATCTTTCTATTTTACTACATATAGGCCTATCAAATAATAGCATTCTTAAAGAGAGAACATGCCAATTTCTTTTTACCATTCTTATACCATTTTTCTCTTTCTTTTGAAAGGCAGCAGAGGAAGTTGGGTATCCAGTAATGATCAAGGCCTCAGAAGGAGGAGGAGGAAAGGGAATCAGAAAGGTCAATAATGCAGATGACTTCCCTAACCTCTTCAGACAGGTAGAGTACAAGTTGTTTTTGTTTGAATTAACATGTATATCAGTGATATGTGATTTAACTCATGCTAGAATTTGTAAGTCCAAAAAATAGAGTTATTTTCTATTATATAAAAGTCATCAGTTTTTTCAGATAGCTCTTCCCTGTATGGTGGTTCATAGAACTTTCTGTGAAAAGGAAGAGTCCATGCCTTTCTATATTTTTGTGTTCCTCTTCTTCTGGTGTTACAACGTATATGGTGTGATTAACTCCTGATCAGGATGCTCTTGGCTTGGACAGGCCCAGACTCTCTGATTGAATTTAATTCAAAGTGACAGTGGGTTCCTGTGTTCTCACCCTGCTGGCCCAGCAGTCTACATCCTAGCCTGTGCTGCATGGCCACTGTACCAGGGCACAGGGGTCTATGGCACGCTCATGTTCTCTGAGAACTGAGATGGCTCAGAAATGCTAACCTATGGTCTCTTTCTGACTACCCATCTGATTAGCTAATTGGATGTGGCAAAACTACAGGTTGGTTGTGAAAGCCAGATATGTTCTCTTTTCAGAATCCTAGAGAATTGGGAGGGAGGAGTCTCTTTTTCCCTGTCCTCAGAGTTACCCTGACATAATTGACTCACACTTTTTTCCTTTCAATACCCAGAAAAAGGTGTCAGGAAAAGGCAAATTGGGACACATTCGGGCCTTTCCACTTGCTACCTCCCCACTATTTCTTATTTTACCCCGGTCACCTTTTATTTGCCTGCCTTTATTTATTTATTTATTTGCTTATTTATTTATTTATTTTAAAGTCATTCAATAGCAAATTTATTGCTTTCTTGTCATGGGCTAAAGAGAAAAAGTCTATGAACTGGGGCTCCCATGATTTGATATACTCAATAAAGAAGGTGATAAACATATTATTTTGCTACATTACCTTATTTTGAAAGTCAGAATTTGAATATTACTTGTCTTTCTCTTTAAATGCCATCTATAATAATTATAATTTCATAGGTATTTCAGTACCTATGGAGTCTAAAGAAAAGACCTTTTTCGCTTAGCAAAATAAAAAGCATGTTAATTAAAAATGTATATTTTAGCCCTGACCGGTTTGGCTCTGTGGATAGAGCATTGACCTGCAGACTCAAGGGTCCCAGGTTTGATTCTGGTCAAGTGCATGTACCTTGGCTGCAGGCACACGCCCAGTAGGGAGTGTGTAGGAGGCAGCTGATCGATATTTCTCTCTCATTGATGTTTCTAACTCTCTCTCTCTCTCTTCCTCTCTGTAAAAAATCAATAAATTATATATAAAAATATATATTTTGTTTTTATTTTTTATTGTTGATAGTATTACAAGATACTAAGCACAGATTCAGAAAACACTATGAGACCTGTAGGACAAATACAGAGAAAACTACTATATTTTAAGCTTATTTGAGCAAATCTTCCACTTTATTCCAATAAAAAGAGAGAATGAAAAAGAAAATCTTAAAGCAACTGGAAAAAAAGATTAGTTTCAAAGGAGTAACAATAAAATTGTCCTGACATCTCAGTAGAAATAATAGAAGCCAGAAAATATTGGGATGTTTTTAAAATATTGAAAGAAAATAATTGCCAGTACAGAATTCTGTATCCAGTGACAATATGCTTCAAAATTGCAGATGAAAGGTCTTTGCCTATAATAATACTGTATATTCTATAATGTGAAACAGGAGAGCATCTAGTCTGGAGCAAGTTGTACATTTAGCTTTCTGGAATGGATGATAATACTTTGCCCATTTGTGGAATTTCTGTGTGGTGTGTGTGTGTGTGTGTGTGTGTGTGTTTTCAAAATATTTTGTTCTTTACCCTTGTATTACACTGGGTGTTCATATGTTTTCATATTTATCAATTAATATCTTATATAATAAAAGGCTAATATGCAAATTGTCCCCTCGAGTGGGATTTTGACCCACATGGAGTTTGACCTGGGAGCGGGACTGGCCTAGGCCCCTCCTCCTGGCAGGCCCTGTCCCAGTTGGGCCCTTCGAGCCCAATAGGGGGCGGGGCCAGCCAGGCAACCTCCTGCATTCTATCCCCATTACCCCTCCCCCTGGGCTGCCAGACCCCATCCGTGCATGAATTTGTGCATTGGGCTTCTAGTTGATCATGTAATTAATGCAGTCTCTTGAAAAGATGAGGAAATGAACTTTAGTTTATTTATTTTTGTATTCCTATTGATTAACGTGGTCCCTGATAATTCTAGGCATCTTCCTGTTGAAACTGAAGCAATAGATAGAAAAAAATGCTCACCACTAAAAAATTGTTTTCTTTTTTTTCTAATACAGGTTCAAGCTGAAGTCCCTGGATCTCCTATATTTGTGATGAGACTAGCTAAACAATCTCGTCATTTGGAGGTGCAGATCTTAGCAGATCAGTATGGCAATGCTATCTCTTTGTTTGGTCGTGATTGCTCTGTACAGCGAAGGCATCAGAAGATTATTGAAGAGGCACCTGCTGCTATTGCTACTCCAGCAGTATTCGAACATATGGAACAGGTATTAATGTGAAAAAGTCTAATATGTGTTTTCTCACACAGAACTATACTCATTCAATTCACTATCAATCTGAGAATAGTAGAATTTCTTGTATGGATTCTGGATAATAGATAAATTAATATTTTTTTTCCAATAAGAAATAATTATTCTGTCTCTAGGAAAGCTGCCAGTGAAATTTGAAGCTTTAAATTAGTTAATTTTTTTTGAAAAAAATATATCAGTATACTATTTTCAGTAGGAATAAAGAAGAGAAATATCTTGGGATTTTTAATCTAATAATTTGATTTTTTAACAAGTTCATGATAAGCAGATAGTTCATTTTTTAGACTGATTATTGTTGAGTCTTAAGAAAAAATTATTTTTTCTTTAAAGGTCCTCTAAGTATCTTTAAAGTTTATATATTCTATATTTTTATATAGAAAAGAATCTCTCAGCATCTTGCAGGTCCCTTGGAAATAGTTATAGTTTAGGGGTCTAATTTCTGGAACTGGAACTCAGTCTTCATCTTTTATTTATTTATTTTAATAAGTCTTTATTGTTCAGATTATTACAGTTCCTCTTTTTTTCTCCCCATAGCTCCTCTCCACCCTGTTTTCCACCCCCCCTTATCCTTACACCCCCCCCATTGTCCTCGTCCATAGGTGTTCGATTTTTGTCGTCCCCCCCCCCCCCCCCCCCCCCCCCCCCCGCACAGCTCCATCCCCCCTGAGAATTGTCAGTCCACTCCTTTTCTATGACCCTGATTCTATTATATTCACCAGTTTATTCTGTCCATCATATTTTTTATTCACTTGGTTTTTAGATTCACTTGTTGATAGATATGTATTTGTTGTCACTTTGTTCATAATTTTTATCTTTACCTTTTTCTTCCTCTTCTTAAAGAATATCCTTCAACATTTCATATAATACTGGTTTGGTGGTGATGAACTCCTTTAGCTTGTTCTTATCTGTGAAGCTCTTTATCTGACCTTCAATTCCAAATGATAGCTTTGCTGGGTAGAGTAATCTTGTTTGTAAGTTCTTGCTATTCATCACTTTGAGTATTTCTTGCCACTCCCAGTCTGGCCTGCATAGTTTCTGTGGCAAATCAACTGACTGTCGTAGGGTACTCTCTTGTAGGTAACTGTTTTTCTCTTGCTGTTTTTAATATTATCTCTATGTCTTTTGCTCTTGGCATTTTAATTATGATGTGTCTTGGTGTAGTCCTCTTTAGATTCCTCTTGTTTGGGGTTCTCTGCACTTCTTGGACTTGTAAGTCTGTTTCTCTTCTTCTGGCACCCCCATAATTCTGATGTTGTTATGCTTTGTTGTGGGGTCAAAACCTGGGTTCAAAATAAGACCACCGGAGGCTGATGATTGATTTTAAAAAGCAGGCAAGGATTTATTGAAAAGCTGGCTAGGACGACCATGAGAGCACCACAAGCAGGTGGCCACACTCACGACCTGCACAGTTCCAGGTGTAGGCAAGTCTTTTTAAAGGTTGAAACCTCAGGAATTTTCCTTTATTCTAAATCTAAAGGCTGGGAACATTGGAATGTGGCCCTATCTTGCCGATAATACTGAAGCAGAACTCAGCGGTTAATCTCTAAAGGTTATCTGTAGTTTCTACCCCTAAAGCTACTGAGTCAGTGGGAATCAGTCTCCTGTATTTATGTGCCTAGGCACATGAAAATTGCCTTAGCCTCCAGGTCTCCACCTGGAAGCTGAGATAACTATCCTTTAATAGCAGGGTTAAAATTCAAGCAGCAGTTTTTACCCAAATATGGTCGCCACCATATTTCACGCTTGAAGTTGTCCCAGAGGCTACACTATTTTCATATATTTGGATTATTTTTTCTTTTTGCTTTTCCGGTTGGGTGTTTTTTGCTTCTTCATATTTCAAATCTTTGACTTGATTCTTGAGATCCTCTAGTCTGAATAGTATTTTTTATTTTAGTCAGTGTATGCTTAATTTCTAATTGGCCCTTTTTCATATTCTTGAGGGTCTCACTAAATTTCTCAGAGGTTTCTAGAAGATTCTTGAGTAACCTTATAACTGGTTTCCCAACCTCTGCACCTCCTACCAGTTTAAATGCGCTTTTCTCTTTCTTATTGTATAACTTCCACTCAGCCAGCCTTTCTGTGGTTCTGGATGATACCTGTTTTTTCTTTTAGTTGTAGTTTTGATATGGTTGTGTGAGACAGCAAGTTCATGTGTTGATCTATACCACCATCTTGGTTCCTCTATCTCAGTCTTCATCTTATTGGAGATATATTTTTATTTTTTTTCTCCTGAATTCCAAACAAGCTAAATATGTGACGTGTGTGTGTGTGTGTGTGTGTGTGTGTGTGTGTGTATGCATGCATATGCATGCATGTGTTAAGACACGTTATTTAACTGGTATAAGAGGATCTCAGAATACTGTGGCTTAAACAAGGTATATGTTCTATTTCTCTGTCATCTTAGTTCTAGATGAGCTGGTGCCAGAGACAGGTTTATTGCTCTGCCATTCACTAGAAAAGGAATCAGCAAACTATAGTTCACAAGACAAATTCAACCTGCCACCTGCTTTTGCAAGGAAAATTTTATTGGAATACATCCATACTAATTTATTTATGTATTATCTATGGTTGCTTTATCACTGCAGTGACTGAGTTGAGTAGTTGTGACAGAGACTATATGGCCCACAAAGCTGAAAATAATTGTTACCTGATCTTTTTCCAAAAAAGTTTGCCCACCTTTGCCCTAGGGTGTCATCATCTTCATGATTAAGCTAGCTCACAAGAGTATGTCCAACATTGTAGCCTGAGGGGGAGAGAAGGAGACAGTGGAGGGCAAGCATATAAAAATATGATCTAGAAGTCCAACCAATTACTTTCGCTCACATTCCAGTGGGCAAATTCAGTTATACAATCACACATAGCTGTAAGGGATGTTAGGGATTGTAGTCATCAACTGGGTGGCCACATTCCTAGTTTCAATTTAGGAGATTTTATTACTTAAATGGATGAGGGAGAAAATTACTGAAGAGCAGTTAATAATCTGTGCCTCAGTCTGATCCTCTGGCTACCCATTATCCTTTCATACCCTTTTTCTCATTTTTAGAAAATACTTAGCCTTTTCCCCAAAGAAGACAGCTCAAAGTCCAAGATCTCTGAAACTGTCCATTAAATGTACAAGTGGCTTTTCGCCATGTACCCAATATACAGTGGTGGAACAGAAACAGGATAAACTCCCATTTGGAAAAAAGAGGAATGAAAAATATATAGTAATCATTGGTCCATAGCAGTTATCAGATCCTTCTAGGCAGGAATTTTTATGAATTCCTGCCATGTAGTGGAGTAATAATTCCTCATTAGCTCTCTGGATGCCCCTGGTTCTGGTCTCAAAGCAAATCCCTTGCCTGTCCTCCCTTAAGGCACCTGGCTTTGTTCTCTAGAAAGTTATTCCTTTTGTTGTTTCCTCTGACTGGGCTTTGGAGACTGTACTTTCTTTGGCAGAGCTTTCACAGCTCACTTCCTGCTGGGGCAGGATTGGGGCCACAAAGATTTTTCCAATTATCAGTCACAGGTTCTTGAAGGCCAGGTTTGTGGTTTGTTTAAAATTACAATTCCTTTAAAACTTAGTATGTTTCTGGATTATTCTCTTCCAGTCATCTTTAGGTAGGACTCACTACACCCCAAGGTTTTTAGATATAGCAACTTTTTCTCTTTTATTTGATCTTTGACACTGGTGCTTTAAGGTGAAAATTGAATTTTCTGGTTTGGGAATACAGAAGTAGTTGAATTTTTCATATTTTGACTTCCTATTTTTCTTAGGGCTTAGTTGGACTGTTGTCCACCTTAGAAGTTATTGTAGGACACCACTTACCAAATGTTTTGTTATGCCTAACAAGGTGGCCATCAGCTTTCAGTCTGAAATATCTGTGCTCTAGCTATCCTTTACCCTATGTGTTATTGTTAACCCAAAACACATTTTAATATTTTTAAATAGCAGGTTTCTATCTGAATGTGGTCATTTCTGTAGTAATTAGGGTGTAGGTTAAGCTTTTGTAATAAAGAGATCCAAAAAATGGAACCCAGATAAGATAGAAGTTTATTTTTTTCTTTCCATCATAAGTTGAGATGAGCTATGCAAGGTTGGCAGCAAGTTCTGTTCCACAAGGCCATCTTGGAATTCTGGTTTCTTCTATTTGTTTTGCTATTCCTAGTATACTCTCAACTTAGTTGAAACTAGCTTGTACTGTCATGAAGTGGAACAGCCAGAATAGAGAACAAGCACTTCCTTTTTAAAACATGATTCAGGAATTAGGTATGTCACTCACCAATGCTGACATTACTTTTGGCAAAACTTAGTCACTAAGTGTAAGAGAGGTTGAGAAACCTAGTCTCTAGATAAGCAACCATGTTTTAGGAAGAATGTTAGGAATACTAGAAACCAGTGCATAGTGGAAAAATCTGCCACACTGTCTTTTTTCCCCTGTGTGTACCTGTAGGGTTGAGGTTGCCTGTGATCCCAAATGATGAAAAACAGTTTTCCTTGAAATTTGAATTGAGTTTGTCGTCATGTCCAGGATGTTCTGTAATAACCAGAAGGTGAAATTCACTCTAATGCAGTGGTTGCCAACCAGTGGTCCTCAGACCACTTGTGTGGTCCTTGAGGTCCGAAAGGTTGGCAGCCACTGGTTTAAGGAAACCTTTGGAACAGCAGTCACCAACTAGTGGACCCTGGACCACTGGTGGTCTGTGAGGTCCAAAAGGTTGGTGACCGCTGCTCTAATGTGTGTAAAAGCCTTTGATGGCTCTTATAAACACTAGATATTTGAGTCAGGGAGAGGCTATATAGATAAGCAGTGGTCCACCGGCTAGACAAGGTAAAATACTCATGTTTTTCCATCTTTTTTCTTTCAGTGTGCGGTAAAACTTGCCAAAATGGTTGGCTATGTGAGTGCGGGGACTGTGGAATACCTCTATAGCCAGGATGGCAGCTTCTACTTTCTGGAACTAAACCCTCGGCTTCAGGTGGAGCACCCTTGTACAGAGATGGTGGCTGATGTCAATCTCCCTGCAGCACAACTCCAGGTGAGTCACCCTGATCAAGGCTCCAAGAGTTGCCTAGAAAATGTCAGATGCCCGAAAAACTGGTTTAGCCTGTGTCTGATAAGAGAAGACTGCCTCCTATCTGATTCTCATCTAATGTTCATGCTTTATGGGTTGTGATGTGTGGATTGGTTTTCCTCATGTGTTACAAATCTAGGAATATTATCACACTTAATTTTTTTTTTTAGATATGTGCCTGTGAGGGGCGGAGGGGGGAAGGTAATGGCGCGAGTGTGCTCTCTGGAGGTAGGGCACCTTCTATTTTCTAGCCAGACAAATCTGGTGAAAACTTATTTTAGAAAGAAACTTAAAAAAAAAAATGCTTTACTTAATTGTTTTAATTATAGAAAACTTTACAACTTTGTAATTGGTCTCTACTCCTTTTACTAGTGTTCTCTATTGAAGCAGTTCCACATCAGAGTGGTGGTCAGGGATTTTCTGGGCAACAGTGAGGCAGCACCCATTTGTTTTTATAATGTTTAAAGTGCTAACTGTCAGTATTATTTTATCTATTCATCCCAGAAAACAAATGTTATGGGAAGCAGTAATAGCTAATAATGAAGTTTGATAGTATTTTTATCTAATATATTCTTTGTCCATATTGGAAACCCCTTCTGAGTTCCCATTAAGGACTAAATATTTATTTATTTACTAGAGGCCTGGTGCACGAAATTCGTGCGCACACGTGCTCGTGCATGTGTATGCGCGTGTGTGTCCCTCAGCCCAGCCTGCACCCTCTCCAATCTGGGACCTCTTTGATCTTTGACATAGTTCTACTAGGATAGGGCCTAAACGGGCAGTCAGACATCCCTCTCACAATCCAAAACTGTTGGCTCCCAACTGCTCACCTGCCTGCCTTCCTGATTGCCCCTAACCGATTCTGCCTGCTAGCCTGATGGATGCCTAACTGCTCCCCTGCCAGCCTGATTGCCCCTAACTGCCCTCCTATGCCGGCCTGTTCACCCCAACTGTCCTCCCCTGCAAGCCTGGTCCCCCCCAACTGCTCTTCCCTGCATGTCTGGGTCCCCCCCAACTGTCCTTCCCTGTAAGTCTGGTTGCCCCCAACTTCTCTCCTCTGCTGACCTTGTCACTGCTAACTGCCCTTCCCTGCAGGGTTGATTGCCCCCAGCTGCCCTCCCCTGCAGGCCTGGTCCCTCCCAACTTTCTCCTGCTGGCCATCTTGTGGTAGCCATCTGTGTCCACATGGGGGCAGCCATCTTGTGTTGGAATGATGCTCAGTTTGCATATTACTCTTTTATTAGATAGGATTTCTTACAGTGGTTTCTGGGGATAATTATGAGATGAATTTTATAGCTGTCTAAATTTCTTTGATAGCCACTGATATTGATACTTCCTTTGGATATTTTTATTCTGATCCATTGATGGAGAAATGATAATAGAGAGAAACTTATATCTATTACATTAGGAACTTGGGGACTTTTTTAGTAGCAGAGGAAAGTATTTAGCATTGTGTAGTGACATATTTTAAGTACCTTAGAGTTTCTTCTTTGTTGATTTTAGAATACAGGTTATAAAAATAGAATGTTTTAGGTGGTGGCTACTAAAATGAAAACTCTTACAAGTAATCTATAGCCTCCACATTTTAAGTAAAGTAACTGAAAAATGAGTGCTATGTATTATTACCTTTCAGATTGCCATGGGGATCCCTCTGTACAGAATCAAGGATATTCGTATGATGTATGGGGTATCTCCCTGGGGTGATGCTCCCATTGATTTTGAAAATTCTGCTCATGTTCCTTGCCCAAGAGGCCATGTTATTGCTGCTCGGATCACTAGTGAAAATCCAGATGAGGTAACCCTTTTAGATAGGATTTACACTTTTCTCTCTGTGAACTTTAATATAAAGATGGTACCTGAGGGCTATGCTTCTGAAATATTTGGGACTTCTGCTGGAAGGGGGAATTTGTAGAGGTTTAATCAGAGTAAACAAAGAAATGATCACTGCGCCACTGGTCATTTTATCCTACTATAGTCACTATAGAGTTCTCAGTAGCATTGGACGTTGGCTCTTAAGCCTTTATGTTTTTTGTGCATCATTTCTTCTTTTATGTGCAATTCTACAGAGCCTAAACAGTAAATATATAAATGTCCTCTTTCTGGGAAATATAACATGGTCTCTCATATTCTTCATTCTCTAACAGGGTTTTAAGCCCAGCTCAGGAACAGTTCAGGAACTGAATTTCCGCAGCAATAAGAATGTATGGGGTTATTTCAGTGTTGCTGCTGCAGGGGGACTTCATGAATTTGCTGATTCCCAGTTTGGTCACTGCTTTTCCTGGGGAGAAAACAGAGAGGAAGCAATTTCGTGAGTACAGTAGCATTTGATTGCATTTAAAAATAAATAAATCTGTGCTAATCTTCGGTGAAGGTGTGGGTATAGGCAGGGAACCATTTAACTGCTATAAAAGTATTAATATGAACAACCTTTTTTTTTTTTTTTAAATATATATATTGATTTTGTACAGAGAGGAAGGGAGAGAGATAGAGAGTTAGAAACATCGATGAGAGAGAGTCATCGATTAGCTGCCTCTTGCACACCCCCTACTGGGGATATGCCCGCAACCAAGGTACATGCCCTTGACCAGAATCGAACCCGGGACCTTTCAGGTCCCAAGCCGACGCTCTATCCATTGAGCCAAACCGGTTTCGGCTGAACAACCCTTTTTTTTTTTTTTTTTTAAATATATTTTATTGATTTTGTACAGAGAGGAAGGGAGAGATAGAGAGTTAGAAACATCGATGAGAGAGTCATCGACCAGCTGCCTCTTGCACACCCCCTACTGGGGATATGCCCGCAACCAAGGTACATGCCCTTGACCGGAATCGAACCCGGGACCCTTCAGTCCCCAAGCCGATGCTCTATCCATTGAGTCAAACCGGTCTCGGCTGGACAACCTTTTTAAGAAGAATATTTTCAATTATACTGGTATTCATGTGTGTTAAAATATGCAGTGTTTGGCAGATGTTTTTCAATTTGTTCAAGTCTTTTTAAGTATTTTTGCTTTCAAATACATATATTTTTATTTTAGTTTAGTTATTTTAGTTTAACTAAGGAAGAGGAAGTGAGAGAGAGAGATAGAAACATCCATGAGAGAGAAACATCATCAATCAACTGCCTCCTACACGCTCCGTACTGGGGATCGAGCCCACAACCCCGGCATGTACCTGGACCGGGAATCAAACCCATGACCTCTTGGTCAGCCACTTAACCACACTGGCTGGGTTCAAATATTTTTGATAAATTTATAAAGTTGATTGCTTTAAACATATCATTTTCCCATAGTGCTGTAGGGAGGTAAATTCTTGATCAAGAATTTGGCATTTTATAAACCATAGAAAGACCTGTTATTAGTAATCAAACTAAAGCTATAGCTGTAAATGTACCATAGTCATTTAAATAATAAAATTAAACTGCTTGTTACATGTAAAGGACAATAAGGGAACTGTCCCCATTGCTTATAGAAGAGACCTCATTATGCTATGAATTATACTAGTACACACAGCTTATCCAAATGTAACTGGTATATCGTAAGGGTTATTGGTTAATATTATATTAGACATAAACATTAAATATTAAATTAGTAGCAATTTTGCTTGCCTAAAAATAGAGCTCTAAGAGATAATTTTGACAGTTTAGATATTTTAGAATATTTATCTAAAATTGAACTATTTTTTGTCTTATTTCCTTATATCAAGCATTTAATACCATTCCTTTGATCTTTGGACTGTATACATAGACTAGTAGTCAATAAGTATTAATAATGTTGGTTTTTAATAGTGGTTTTGGAAGTAGGGAAGTCTCAGTTTTTCTCTATTTTGCCCTCTATGATTCTACCCATTTATTCAAAATTATAAGTAGAGAGGGAGTGAGGGCTTGGGTGGAAGGGTCAAAGGAGGAGAAAATGAGCAACATCTGTAATAGTGTTAAAAGTAAAGACTTGCAGCCCTGGTAATTGACTCACGCACCTAAGTCGGGCACATGTGGGAGGCATCCAATTGATGTGTCTCTCTTACATCAATGGTTCTCTCTCTCTCTCTCTTCCTCCCTTCTTCCCTTCCACTTCTAAAATTCAGTATCCTCTGGTAAGGATTAACAGTAAAAATAAATAAGTAAGTAAGTAAGTAAGTAATAAAATGGATTCCTGAACGATTGGGGGAAAGTAAAACTTTAATTAGAGTTTTTCCAAGTTAAATCAATGCTACCAGAAAATAAGGTTGGTATAAAGTTGCCCCCTCATCCCCTTTTTATTACATTCATCTCTTGTTTTACCAAAGTGAAGAAGGTTTATGCTAGAGTTTTGCAAATTGTAATTCAAACAAATACATGGTGGCCTTCCGTATAGTCACAGCTACATATGTGTTTGATTGGCTTACAGGGTCCTAATGTATTAAAAAATGCCAATATTTAAAAATTGGTAGGTTAAATATATGGATTTCTGCCTTCTCTTCGAATATGGGATGGTAATGACAATATTGGCTTTAAATTCCACTTGGCAAAAGTTAGCTAAACCTCTGTGTGGCTGCTGCTTTTAGAGGAAACATGAATTCTCTAGTGCACACAGTCTGCCTACTCGTTTACATTCTCAGAATAAACGAGACATCCCTCTTTTGGTATTTAGGTTTATAGTTCTGTTTAGGCAGACTGCTAAGTATTTTCTACAGGACATGTCCTATCTCTTGGTCCAAAAGCCTTGATCTTTACTTCCTGACTTGCTCTGTATCCTATATAATAAAAGCCTAATATGTAAATCGGCTGAACTACTGGTGGAATGACTGGTTGCCATGATGCACACTGACCACGAAGGGGCAGATGCTCAACGCAGGAGTTGCCCCCAGCCCGCAGGCCCCAGGCTGGCCAAGGTGGGTGCCAGAGGGGGGCTTTTGATCACCCTGCCATTTGCCCCACAGATCAGCCCTGGTTGCCAGCCAGGCTTAGGGTCCCTACTGATGCACCAATTTCAAGCATCAGGCCTCTCGTATTTCTCTAACTAGGTGTAAGTTAACTAGGTTAAGTTTTAGTATACTAAAAATATGGTCTTTACAATAAGCTTGCTTCTTGACTTCATGCCAAAGTTCATCCCTCAGCTCAGAGTTTGTTTCTTTCTTATTTATATCTTTTCTTACTCATAACATTCATAATATTCTTGTTCTCTAGAATAGTCCCAACCTATATTTCCAGCCTTATTTCCCATACATCGTAATCTAAATACCATGAGAACAGGACCATGTCTGTTTGTTGCTGCTGTATCCTCTGAACATAGTAAGTGTTCAGTAAATGTTTATTAAATGGATGGATTTGCCACTAGTTCCTGTCCTCATACCCTTTGCTTCAATCATAATGTTCTCTGAAAACAACCCATATTTTTTTCCTTCTTTCCCTTTGTTCTTGATATTCTGTCTATTTATTCATTCACTCCATTAAAAAAAAAAATTGCTGACTATGTGGCAATACAACAAGGACCAAAATAGGGTCTCTGCCTTCATAGAGCTTGAGAATCCAGAGGGTGAGAGGCAAATAAACAGTTAAACACAATGTAATAAGTTGCTATCTTATGATAATGGAATTACATAATGGTGGTACGGGAACATATATTTAGCTAAATCAGCTTACTCAGTCTAGAGAGGGTCAGAAAGAAATGGCATCTGGACTTATCTATAAGAAGTATATAGGAATAAGCTAGGCCAAAAGAGGACACAGAATGGAAGGCAGAGATGGGAAACCAAATAATGTTCTAGGCTGAGGGATTGCCTGGACCACATGGAATAATATTCCTATCACAGTTATATTCCCAGGTATACTTTCATTCCACGTCAAATTCCACATTCTTCATGAAATCATAGGACGGTGGATATTGTCCTTTCTTAGAACTTCTCCAGCACTTGGCTTTTTTCTCTCTACTTATGATATTCTGCCATATATTTTGAAAGCAATTACTGTATCTACCTTATGAGCCTAGGATGTGCCTTGGGTCTGTGAGGTGCATAATAAGTTGAAGTAAAGACCTGTTCTGTGCAGGGCAGACACTGGGCAAAAATAAACAGGAAAAAAACCCCAGGACATTTGAAATTCTATTAATATTAGATCATTTCACACTTTATTGGCAAGTAATAAAAGTAATGAGTGGTCATTTCACAAACATCTAAAAGAAGCTTTAAAAAAACACCATTGTCACATGAAGTGTTAGGCTGATACCTGACTATATCTGTCCAGTTGCTCATTGTATGGAAATATTTAAGGTGTGAGAATGTGCCAAAATTCATTGAACAGTATACTTAAAAATAAGTATATTTTATTTTATGTAAATTATATCTTAAAATAAGGTGTTAAGGAGAGGAAAATTATGCTCTAATTTTAGTTAGTAATCAATAAATGAATGGAATGATGGAACCTAGGAAGTGAAAGCTGAGGGTGGTTTGCATATAATTTGTTTTGTCCTCCATATAATGAAATGCATGTCATTTGCTGATGCACTTAAGATAATGTCAGTCAGAATTCATAATTTTACTGACTTCTTGAAAATCATCCCATCTGGAATGCATGTGAATGAGCACACTTATATTTACACCCTCATTTGTTCTTAGAACTGTCTGTCCCTCTCCCCTCCCTTCTAAGACTCCAAAGGAATGAAACAATTCTTTAAAATGATAGAAATTTCAATACTGAAACGTTTGTTGCTGAAACAGATGTGCTTCTGTTCTCCCAGAAACATGGTGGTGGCTTTGAAGGAGCTATCTATTCGGGGTGACTTTCGAACTACAGTTGAATACCTGATCAAATTGTTGGAGACGGAAAGCTTTCAGTTGAATAGAATTGACACTGGCTGGCTGGACAGACTAATAGCAGAAAAAGTACAGGTGTGTATTTCTCCATTTGCACTAACAGCTTCTAAGATTGGGTTTTTATAAGTTTGTGGTGTGATCGTTCTATGTCACTAGATAAAATTTATCTGATTCTAAAGTTAATGGTTCTTGATCTACATGGAAAAAACCTAGGAGCCAGTGTAATTATCACTGAGAGTTCTTGTGCCCATGTTACACCGTCATTTTACATGTTCTAATATTACTTCCTGGGTATATTTGAAGAGAGGCACATAGGGATTGAGATCCTTTCTCTTTCCTCATTTGATGTTAAGTCTGGCTTAGAGTTACCAACTCTTACATCTGTTTAACAGAGGCTGATGAGAGGGGCCTCATCTGAAGCAACAGTTACTTCTTTTTAAAAAAAATATATTTTATTGATTTTTGTACAGAGAAGAAGGGAGAGAGAGAGAGAGAGAGTTAGATACATCGATGAGAGTCATCGATCAGCTGCCTCTTGCAAACCCCCTACTGGGGATGTGCCCGCAACCAAGGTACATGCCCTTGACCGGAATCGAACCCAGGACCCTTCAGTCCCCAAGCCGATGCTCTATCCACTGAGCCAAACCAGTTTTGGCAGCAACAGTTACTTCTTGTTCCTGAATTTCAGGGCTCTTCTAAATTACCAAAATTTTTGTAAAAATCTTTAGATTCAATTAAATTTCCAAATTTTGGTTATATAACATTTTTCTTTGAGATTATCAGTAGTCAAATCTCTGTTCCTTTTTGAGTTTATTTCTGACAAAGGCTTGCTTTTGAGCATCTCTTTGATTGGTTCAGTAGAAATCTTAGAGTGAAGGGAGAGTTGTTTCTCATCTCTATTCAAATGGTGCCTCTATTCAGATTCTAAAGAAAATGTATTTGTATCGATAGTTCAAAAAATCATTTGCACAATAAGGACTCCATCCATTCTCAGTGCTAACTATACCTTCACAGAAAATTTGAGCTCTATTTAAATTGAGGGACCATGGTGCCAAGTGACTGTTATTTATATTACCTGCCCTATTTTTATTCCTTTTAGGCAGAGCGACCTGACACCATGTTGGGAGTTGTGTGTGGGGCTCTCCATGTGGCTGATGTGAGCCTGCGGAATAGCGTCTCTAACTTCCTTCACTCCTTAGAAAGGTAGGCTTTGTTTCTCCTTTCTGCGCAAGTTAGTGGACCTGAGGACAGGACTGAAGTTCAAAGACCCATTTATTCTTTTCCCTGTTTCTGGCAGTTTATGATTGCTACCTGTTATTCACTGACCATTGGGACAGAAAAAGGGATGTACGGATTATGACAAATTATTGTGGGACTTTACTTTGGGTTTTAGAAATTAGTTTAACCTGCATTTAGAAATTAGTTTAACCTGCATTTAGAATCATGTTAAAATAAACATTCTGTTCAGTACAAACATCAAATCTCTCTATACCCTAATGATGAAAATCTGTGTTTTCTCTCTAGCATTGAGCCCTGAGATTTCAGTTATCCAAGTCTTATGATAAATATCTTTCACTTTGTTACTCTGATGCACTAAAACCTTCAGCATCTCACGTTACCCTATGTTCAAATCTAAATCCCTCAGTGTGACTTTTTAACTTTCTATATATCGATACTTTGGCCTCTTTTTACCAGTCCATTCTTACTAATTTCTGTTTCTCAACATGCAACCTCTACCTAGTTAAGTAGTTTTCCTACTAGTGTATAAATATGTTATATATAATCTCGTCTACAAGCTCCACTGCTCTTTAATGTTATTTTCATTTATTCTTTTATAATTTTTAAAAATATATATATTTTATTGATTTTTGTACAGAGAGGAAGGGAGAGAGATAGAGAGTTAGAAACATCAATGAGAGAGAGTCATCGATCAGCTGCCTCTTGCACACCCCTACTGGGGATATGCCTGCAACCAAGGTAGATGCCCTTGACCGGAATCGAACCCGGGACCCTTCAGTCCCCAAGCCGACGCTCTATCCATTGAGCCAAACCAATCCCAGCTTATTTATTCTTAAAACTTGTATTTTTAAATAATTTTGGATTTATAGAAGAGTTGCATGAATAGTTCAAACAACTACTATATTCTTTGCCCAAATTCAGCAATTATTAACAATTTGGCTTACTTGCTCTACCATTTCTTCTCTTTATTATTAGAAGTCTTTTTTGATAATGTTTCCTGCTTGACGATGAACTTTCTTTCTCCTTCTACCCAGCCATACACTACTGCTTTTTATTTAAGACTCCAAATAAAACTCTAGTTGATAAGAGTAGATTAGGGTTGTTCGTTTTGGAGCCTTTTTCTTTTTCTAAGTTTTATTTATTTTTAAGAACAGGTAATATATTCACATGATTCAAAATTCAAAAGGCACTGAAGGCATATAGTAAAAATTCTTCTTATCTCTGTTCCCTGTCCACTCAGTTCCCTTCTCAGTAGTTAACTTAAGTTAGCAGTTTTTTCTGTAACCTACCAGATACCGTAAATTTATATAAACACTAGAGGCCCAGTGCACGAATTTGTGTACTAGTGGAGTCCCTCGACCTGGCCTGCGAGGGCAGGCTAAAACTGGCTCTCCAACATTCCTCGAGGGGTCCCGGGTTGCGAGAGGATGCAGGCCAGGCCAAAGGACCCTATTGTTACATGATTGGGGTTAGGGAGGGACATGGGAGGTTGGCCAGCTAGGGAGGGACCATGGGAGGGCTCCCAGGCATGTCCAGCCCATCTCGCTCAGCCCCAATTTTTAGACCCCAGTAGCAAGCTACCCTACCAGTTGGAGTGTCTACCACCTCTGGTCAGTGCACATCATGTAGAGCAGTTGAGTGACCTTAGCATATCGTTAGCTTGTTGCACTTTGATTGAACGGCCAACCGGTCTACCAGACACTTAGCATATTAGGCTTTTATTATTTACTAGAGGCCCGGTACACGAAATTTGTGCGCACGTGTGTGTGTGTGTGTGTGTGTGTGTGTGTGTGTGTGTGTATGTGTGTCCCTCAGCCCAGCCTGTACCCTCTCCAATCTGGGACCCCGTGATCGGGATCTGGCCTAAATGGGCAGTTGGACATCCCTCTCACAATCCTGACTCCCAATCTCTCGCCTGCTTGCCAGCCTGATCACCCCCTAACCACTCCCCTGCCAGCTTGATTGATGCCTAACTGCTTCTCTGCCAGCCCATTTGCCCCTAACTACCCTCCTATGTTAGCCTCGTCACCCCTAGCTGCCCTCCCCTGTCAGACTGGTTGCCCCTAACTGTCTTCCCAGGTAGGCCTGGTCGCCCCCAACCCCCAACTGCCCTCCCCTGCTGACCTGGTTACCCCTAACTGCCCTAGCTTGTCAGCCTGGTTGCCCCTAATTGCCCTCCCCTGCAGGCCTGGTCCCCCCCACTGCCCTCCCCTGCAGGTCAGGTTGCTCACAAATGCCCTCTCCTGCAGGCTTGGTTGCCCTTATCTGCCCTCCCCTGCAGGCCTGGTCACACCTAACTGACTTCCCCTGCTGGCCATCTTATGTACATATGGGGGTGGCTATCTTTGACCACATGAGAGTGGCTATCTTGTGTGTTGGAGTGATGGTCAATTTGCATACTACCTCTTTATTATATAGGATAGTAATAAAAGCCTAATATGCTAATCAGACCAGACAGACGAATAACCTTCCAAATGTCCTTCTGGATGACCTTCCAGATGAAGCTGGGGCTGCGAGGGCTTGAGCCCCTTGCGTGAATTTCATGCATTGGGCCTCTAGTATAAGATAGGCATGTAATAGTTGTTTCTTCCCATACCCTATTTAAAAAAAATTATTATTTTTTTATTGATTTCAGAGAGGAAGGAAGAGGGAGAGGGAGATAGAAACATCAATGATAAAAGAGACTCATCTATTGGTTGCCTCCTACATGCCCCCTAATGGGGATGGAGCCGGAAACCTGAGCATGTGTCCCTGATCAGAATCGAACCTAGGACCCTTTAGTCCACAGGTTGACACTCCATCCATGGAGCCAAACCAGCTAGGGCTTCACCCCCTATTTAAAAAAAATACAAATTATAGCTCGCTTTTCATTTTTTCACTTGCTTTTTTCATTATTGTTAAAAATATTTTATATTAGTACATAAAAGGCCTCATCTTTATTTTTTAATGGCTGCATAATATCCCATTATTATATGGCTTTTTCATAATTTACATTATTAGTCCCTTACTAATGGTCATTTAGGTTTTTTCCAGTCTTGATATTCTAGGAAATGCTTTAATCAATAACCTTTGTGATGCCCTTATACACTTTTAGAACCTTCTAGAAGTAAATGTATCTCACATTGTTGTTCTTTCAGGGGTCAAGTCCTTCCTGCTCATACACTTCTGAACACTGTAGATGTTGAACTTATCTATGAAGGAATCAAGTATGTACTTAAGGTATGTTGAACTTCACTGAAACCTACACTTATTTTTTTTTTTTTTATCTCTCTTTGTTAGCTTATTTCCTGTAGGTCAAGAGATAGGGGTGAAATTTTAGTTTACTGCAAAGCTGAATGTTATGAATTAGTCATTATTTGTGTCAAAGGCCAGAAGCAATATTTGGTGGCTTTCTGAAAATGTTTTAGTTGTTCCTCAGTTTCACATATGGAGCGAAGAGAAAAAGGAGACAGAGAATAGCCAGACCAGGGAAGCATCTAAGGTCAATCTGTCTGCTTGGAGCAAGGCTGAGCCATGCCCTCAGACACTGATGCTAAGAGCACCAGTGCTAGGAATTTCCTTCCTCTTTGATAGTTTTTTTTAAATCTATATTTTTAAGATACTGAGTTTTACTTGGGACTTCACCCAGAAGGGATATTGACGTGTCCTTTTTTGGTCTCATTCCCTAGGTGACTCGACAGTCCCCAAACTCCTATGTGGTGATCATGAATGGCTCATGTGTAGAAGTCGATGTGCATCGGCTGAGTGACGGGGGACTGCTCTTGTCCTATGATGGCAGCAGTTATACCACGTACATGAAGGAAGAAGTGGATAGGTGAGTGGCTTTTTGAGATCCATATGTTCGATCTCAGATAGTCCCTAGCTCTTGGGATTTTTCAAGATCTTGTTATTCTATTTTAATTAAAAAAAAAAAATAGCACATGCACTTAACAAAAATTTTAAGAGTGCAAAAATGTGTTTATAATACAATGAAAAATATTGTCTCTACCACTTCAATGTGAGTAGATATGAAAAATAAGTTCTCCTCTTTATAAGAACTGTTAACAGTTTCTTATGTATTGAAAATTTATGTGCATTTATAAGTTACATATACACTGAGTGGCCAGATTATTATGATCTCTGAACACATAATAATCTGACCACTCACTATATATTAGAGGCCTGGTGCATGAATTCGTGCATGGGTGGCCAGCCAGCCTGGCCAGGGGGAGGTGACATGGGTGGTTGGCTGGCCTGCTTGCTGGTCGAACTCCTGGTTGAGGGGACAATTTGCATATTAGTCTATTATATAGGATATACACTGAGTGGCCAGATTATTATGCATTTAGAAATCATAATAATCTGGTCACTCAGTGTATATGTACTGTTTTTTTCTTTTAAATGTATCCATAAATAAAAATAATCTTTAGATACTGTTTTGCACCTTATTTTTTCCTTAACATATATTGTAGACCAGTGGTTGCCAACCTTTTGGATCTCACGGATCACCAGTTGGCAACCACTGTTGTAGATTGTTCAACACCCATCAATTTTGTGACAATTAAATGAATTAACATAAGTTAAGTGCTAAGAATTTGTCTGGGGCATAATAAGGGCTTAAGAAATGTTAACTGTTACATCTTTATCATCTTTATGGGTTTTTTTTTGTTTTGTTTTTTTTTAATAGAGATGCCTATTTGTTTTAATGGTTGTATAGTATTCCATTATTTGGATGTATCATAATTGATTAAATTATTAACCTTTATTGAAGGAAATTTTGCTTATTTGGCATTATAAACAAAGGTGAAATGAGTATCATATGTGCATGTGTTTATATAGAATAAAGTTATTAGTTTGTATTTTTTTAGAATGACATTATTCTACCATTCTCTATGGTAAAATTCCTTAGGTGATTTATTGGCTTACATATCCTACTTATCTCCTAGATATCGCATCACGATTGGCAATAAAACCTGTGTGTTTGAGAAGGAGAATGACCCTTCAGTGATGCGCTCACCTTCTGCTGGGAAGTTAATCCAGTACATTGTGGAGGATGGAGGCCATGTGTTTTCTGGCCAGTGCTATGCTGAGATTGAGGTTGGAGGGGTGACAGGGCTTTTGTTTCATGGGAGGGAAGGTAGGAATGGGGTTGTCTGGGATAGACTAGGATTGAAGAGTAACTGAAAACAAATAGAAAATAGGCAGGAAAGAGCATCAGTTAGTTTAATTTGGGCTAGGAATCTTAAGATTTTAACAATAATTGCAAAGCTCACAGGTTGGTGGTGGTGTGTTTTTTTTGACAGATGAGGAATTGCTAACTCTAAAAATAGATATTAGGTTGCAATAGCACTTATTGAGTGGTAGGTATTATGCTATGTCCTGATTATATGGGGAAAATATGATAGGTAGAGGGGGACCACTAAACAGACAAGTAATGAAATATGATTCTGATAAAGCCAAGCACCAGTGTACAGAGGGCCACCTAATTCAAGTGTGGGGCTGGGTGTATGTTGGTGGCTAGTAAGGGAAGACTTCTCAGAGAAGGGAGTTTGATTTTAGTTTTGAGAGATAAATAATAATGGACAGGTAAAGAAGGGCAAGGAAGAATGCTTAAAGGGGAAGGAACAGCCAGGTACAAAGGCACTGAAGCACGAGGGTATGGTATATTTAGGGAACTGCAAGTACATGTTTGTATTGCTTGAGAATGGACTAAGTTTTAATGGGAATGGCAAGAAAAGATGCTAAATAAGTAAACAATTTGAGATCATGGAAGACCTTATAAAACATACTGAAGCTTAGACTATCATGGAAGGATTTTACATAGAAAAATGTTAGGGCAAGAACACTAGAACGATTGCTCTTAGTGTTCTTGTTGGAGGTGCATAGCAGGTAGGGAAATCTTTTGGGAGATTTTTGAAGTACTCTAGGTCTGAAGTACACAAAACCAAACAGCTAGCATGAGAAAAAGATTTCTGAAAGAGATTCGGACGATATTTTTGGCTGGGCTTCATAATTGTAGATAAGGGAGAAAAAAGAGTAAAGAATGACTCTTAGATTTTATTTATTTATTTATTTATTTATTTATTTATTTATTTATTTTTATTGTTACTTTTTTTTGGCCCCTTCTTTCTCCCTCCCTCACTCCCTCTCGATGCTTAGATTTTAGCTTGGGTATCTCATGTAGACAAAGTGAGCATTTAGATCTGAGAGTATGAGGAGACTAAATTGTTCATCACTTCCAAGTACAAAAAATGTAAAAATAGAAATTATGGAAAAATGGATTTAAACAGTTAAAAATAGGAAATTCCCTAGTTGTTATTAATCCTTAAAGCTAGATCCTGAGAGATTTTCTAATTGCCTTCCTTGATAATCTCTTAGAGATTTTGATAGATTTCCATTTTTCTGGATTGAATAAGATACAGTCCAACTTAGATGATGAGGGGAAATGTGATCTCTTTAAATCATTCATCTGTGGAAAGAGAGATTAATTATAATTTTATTTATTTTTCATTATAGGTGATGAAGATGGTAATGACCTTAACAGCTATAGAGTCTGGCTGTATTCATTATGTCAAGCGGCCTGGAGCAGCTCTTGACCCTGGTTGTGTAATAGCCAAAATGCAGTTGGATAACCCCAGCAAGGTCCAGCAGGCAAGTAGCAGGGACTTTTAATATTGTTTTCTAGCCCAGCTGGTGTGGATCAGAGTTTGAGCAGCGACCTATGAACCAGGAAGTCAAGATTAGATTCCTGGTCAGGGTATATGCCTGGGTTGTAAGCTCGATCCCCAGCAAGGGCGTTTAGGAGGCAGCCGATCAATGTTGATGCTTCAAGATTTCTATCTCTCCCTCTGCCTTCCTCTCTCTCTAAAATCAAAACATATTTAAAAAATATTGCTTTCTAAGAGCTAATTATTATACATGACGGGTAATTTGGAGGGGCAAATGTTTTCTCTGCTTAGTTTGCCAGTTTTTCTTAAGCTTTTCTTCCTGATCTTATGCCTTATTTTTGTATTTATAGTATTATGAAATTAGAGTTTGTAGGAATTACTATGATAATAAGATTATATAATTTTTTTTTCATGATGCTTCCTCCATTGCCTTCTTTCCTTATAGCTGCAAATGGTGAAGGGATGTCTTGATTTTTGAATGATAATTCTAAGTTGCAATGGTATGTTTGCACCCTGCATAGAAGGTAGTGGATGATTTGATTTCTCATTGGGGTTGACAGGCTGAGCTTCACACTGGCAGTCTGCCACAGATCCAGAGCACAGCACTTAGAGGCGAGAAACTCCATCGAGTGTTCCACTATGTCCTGGACAACCTGGTCAACGTGATGAATGGATACTGCCTTCCAGATCCTTTCTTTAGCAACAGGGTATGAATCACTTCTCTTTGGGAAGGGATGTACAAATAAGGTAAGGTACCTGTTCTCCAAGATAGTTTAAAAGTTGCAAAATAATTTTTTTTTTAGATGAACCTCTTTCCCCTTTAGTTTAGGGAGTTGAAGTCTTTAAATCCTTGCTTCTTATCCGTTTTATTGACTTCACATATAATAGTTAGATGCTTTTATTGCAATTTCAAAGTAAGTACTATATGATAGTGAATTCAGATATATCATTTTATTTATTGTGTTAATTTGTCTGGATCCTATTTTATTATTTCCTTCTTAGGTAAAAGACTGGGTGGAGCGGTTGATGAAGACCCTCAGAGATCCCTCCTTACCTCTCCTAGAATTGCAAGATATCATGACCAGTGTATCTGGCCGCATCCCCCCCAACGTGGAGAAATCTATCAAGAAGGAAATGGCTCAGTATGCTAGCAACATCACATCAGTCCTCTGTCAGTTTCCCAGCCAGCAGGTATTTATAGAGCAATAGTCATTTTCTAATGGCCACCAGTTCTTCACTATCTGGATGTTGTGCTGTTAAAGTTTTAAGCATTGTGCCCTTCAAAAAACTGCCGCACAATAATTGAAGTATTGTATGTAACATATAAAGTATCTGTGGTTATGAGGAACATATACCCAAATCAGAGATATATTTCTGAATCTAAAGTGAGGGATATTCACAGTTTTATTATTAAAGACTTCTTTACCTCCTCAGCAGCATGTGTATCCTTAAAGCAAATTTGCATGTAGGGAGTAAAGCTAGGCAAGGGGGGAGTAAAGTTTGAGCCTTGACCTTTGATATGTCTTGATTGTCATGGCCTCTGGTAGGTTTTGTGATACACTCATTAATTCATTTGGGAAAGGTTGAAAAGAAGTAAAAGTTGTTTGCTTATTTAACACAAGCCCTTACTATATGCCCAGTAAATTTCAGCTGCTCCCTACATATAAAAGATAGAAATTATCTTGTTATAATTAAGATTCTTAATGGTGATATTATACAGGTGAATGCTTTGGGTCTTTTCGTTGGGTTGGGTTTCATTTTTCCCCCTCTTTCTTACACATTAGATTGCCAACATCCTAGATAGCCATGCAGCTACACTGAACCGGAAATCTGAACGGGAAGTCTTCTTCATGAACACTCAGAGCATTGTCCAACTGGTACAGAGGTAGTTACATATAACTCCAGATTCCCAGACCTATCCATTCTCATACCTTCCTTTCTTCTAAGTAGTCGCAAAGAGATTTACTTCAGGTTTGACTTAGATAAATTAGAAAGCACTGATATCTTAGAAAATACCTTATGTCTTCTAAATATCTTAGAATTGTGAGCAGTTATACCCAATATTTGTGATGACTTCTTTCTATTCTATTGATACTTCCCTCTGTCAATTATTAAGGCACAGAAATGATATTTTATTTTTTTCTTGCAATTTTGATAAAACCCCTGATTTTTCTTCTGGCACAAGGCCTAAATGTAACATTTTTCTTAACTTATAGAACCAACTATTGGACTAAAGGAAGATACTCGTAGATTTTTCAGATATCTCTTAGCCATTTCACGGGTGTGGTAATCATTTCTACTTAGCAGTGGGAACAGAACCCCAGAGTAGGTAGGGATGTCGTGTTTTTTGTTTGTTTTTTTATTCATCTCTCTCTCTCTCCCTCTCTCTCCCTCTCTCTCTCCCTTCCATATATATATATATATATATATATATATATATATATATATATATATATATATATAAATCTTGTCAGTAGCCAGATTTCTTTTAAGCTTGAGATTTGAATTAATCCAGTTAGCTGATTTTAGGCTGGTCTCTGTCCTGTTGTATATTCAGAGGGAAAACATGTTTTGTGGAAACTCTACAAAGTAAATCTGGGCTCTGGATTTATTACTTAATAGTCTGTTATTAATAGTGTTAACCCATCAGGTTTTTCAGTGGAGACTTGTTCTATTTGCCTAGGTACCGAAGTGGCATCCGAGGCCACATGAAGGCTGTGGTGATGGATCTGCTGCGACAGTACCTGCGAGTAGAGACACAGTTCCAGAACGGTAAGCCTCTTCCTGAGGACTCTGTATCTGAGGAAGTTTCCCTGTAGGACTGTGCAGCAGCCCAGCCAGTTCATCCTGTGGCTAACACTTGCCATTAATAAGGCTTCCTCCTTTCACCACTCCCTTAAAAATTAAGCCTCTCTAACCCCACTGCCAAAGAAAGAACAACAAAACACAGCTTGATGAAATTGTGAATCCATGTGCTTCTGGGAAAGGACTGAGATAATTTTTCTAGTAGAAATTAGCATTCCCTGTTGATGTCTTCTTGACGCGTATAGAGAATTGGTTGAATCATGACCAGGCTGAAATTGAGAAACCTTATCTGAAGAGCTTGCCTCTCAGCAGCTAATCCATGGATTGAACTACAGGCATTTGAAAAGGGTTCAGATTTTCCACTCCTTTTCCATGTACCATTTAGGTGGAATTTATCCCTGGCTTTCTCTGAAGAGATTCACTAAATGATGTATAAAGTCTCTAAATGTGAAACACCCTGGCTAAGATTGTACAGGTTCATACTGCTGATACAGCTTCCTGCCACAAGATGGCAGTGAAATACCATATACTTTGAGATATTACATAACATTTTCTTTTATTTTTTTTGCTCCCTTTGTATCCTTTAAAGCAGGGGTGGGGAACCTTTTTTTTACTTCCAAAGGCCATTTGGATATTTATAACATTATTCACTTAATAAAATTCACTTAGCCGAAACCGGTTTGGCTCAGTGGATAGAGCGTCGGCTTGGGGACTGAAGGGACCCAGGTTCGATTCCGGTCAAGGGCATGTACCTTGGTTGCGGGCATATCCCCAGTGGGGGGTGTGCAAGAGGCAGCTGATCGATGACTCTCTCTCATCGATGTTTTTAGCTCTCTATCTCTCTCCCTTCCTCTCTGTACAAAATCAATAAAATATATTTAGAAAAAATTCACTTAATATAAATTTATGTTGCTATGAAAAAAGCACCTAGATTTATTGCATTTCTTGTCCTGCCTGTGGTTGCCTTGGCAGGCCAGACCAAATGATTTCACGGGCCTTATACAGCCTGCAGGCTGAACATTCCCCACCCCTGCTTTAAAGGATGGTTAAGCCACTCATAACCAGTAAAAATCCTTAAGTAAATATTGACACCCTGAATACAGCAATGTATAAAATAATACTTCACAACCAAGTAGGTTTTATACCACTAATGTAAGCTTGATTAATATTTAAAATATTAATATTAATTTTAAAAGAGGAAGAAACATGGTCATCATCTCCAGATATGGAGGAGAAAGCATTTGACAAAATTTAATATTCATTTATGAAAACTTTTGGAAAATGAAGAATGAAATGGAACTTTTTTAGTCATGTAAGGGTTTCCCATAAAAAAATCTATAGGATACATAATGGTGAAATATTAAAAGCATTATTTTTAAGATTAAGAATAATACAAGGACGACTGCTATCATTACTTCTATTCAGCATCATACTGGATATCCTAGCTAGTGCAGTAAGACAAAAAAAAGAATGAAAGGTATGAGGATTGGAAAGGAGTAAGGAAATAAGTTTGCCACTGTTAGATATGGTGTGATATCTACCTGGAAAGTCTCAAAGAATCCATATATTTATTATTATAATTATTTGAAGTTTAAAAGGTTGCTACATACAAAAGGCAATATACAAAATTCAAATGTATTTCTGTATAGTAGAACAGTTGTTTAGAAAAGCAATATACCATTTAAAATAGCAACCCAAAATAAATACTAAGGAATAAACCCAAGAAAATAAATGTACAAGCATCTTTTGGAGAAAATCATAACTAGTTAACAATAATAAAGAAAATCTAAATAAATAATCATAATCTTAGATTAGAATATACACTTGCAAAATATTAATTCTCTCTGAATTCATTTGTAGATTTATTAACTTTGTAATACAAATTCTAGTAGGGTATTTGAAATGACAATATTATTTTAGGGACCGATTAGTTGACCAATGAAACATAATAGCTCAGAAATAGATCCGCAAGTATATGTAATACTTTCAACATTAAATATTAAATTTAAAAAATGGTTTGTCAATACTTAATAGAGTTGAACTTTTATATACTCTTCAACCTACCAGTTTCACTCTTAGATAATATACTCTAGAGAGAAACTAACAATGTTTATTGGAAGACATATACAGGACTGTTTGTGGCAGCATTGTTCATGATAGTAAGAAAAACAGGAAAATTTAAATATACACAAGTAGAATAAATAATTGAAATCGAGTACAGTGTATTTCTACATTGGATTACTGTATAGCAGTGAGAATGCATGAACAAAGATACACATGTGAACAAAAGGATGAATCTCAAAAATGTAATGTTAAGGGAAAGAAACCAGTTACCGAGGGATCCATACACAATAATCGCATTGTTACCAATTTGAAAAGCAGGGAAAATGAAAATATGTATACATTTGTGATAAATGTAAAGAAAAGTTAAAGAATGATTAACATGACATTAAACTTAGTAATTGTTTTAGAGGAGGAGCACACAGGACCCCTCAAAGGTACTAAAAATGTTCTATTTAAGATAGATTTGTGGTTTCACAAATGTTTATTCCTCTGTGTGTGTATTTCACAATAAAAAGTTTTAAAAAAGAGAACACTTGATATCATTGCTTGCTTTCTGCTTAGTGTCTCTGCTGCCTTTTCCCTGGGTGAATATTCCTTTTACTTCTTCTGGTCCTTGTAATTCCTGTTACCAAGATATATTTCTGTTGTCATTTCAAAGCTAAGTCTTGGTTGGGAGAAATATGAATTTATATAGGACATCCAGTTTTTAAACAGCTTCCATTTTGTTCTAAATGGGTCTTTTATAAAATTGGCAGCTTTTTAAAATATTGTTTTTATTTTATGTCCACTGTTTTTCAAATATATTTAGTTTCGTGTTGAAATTTTTTTTTTACATCTATCTTTAATATTTAAAATAGATGAAAGCAGGAATCAATCCATGGTAATGCAGTTTGAATACCACCGTTTTGGTTTGTAACTTAACATGGAATCTGAACTGAGGCAACAATCATTTAGTATTTTCATGATTTTATAAAATTCTCCCCCTTGAGATTACTCAAACTCTTATTCTCCTATACTTGGAAATTTAATTCTGAGGTAAGCTGTTTCCTAAAGAAATGACTATTACTTATATCCCATGGTGGATATCACTACAGTATATCTGAAGCTTATGCTTCTGTTGCAAAATACAGCTTTCTTGGCTAGAACTAACCTGTCCCTGGTGGTCTTGTAAAAGGCCAGTGAAAATATACATAATTGCCCTCCCAGTGAAAATATACATAATTGAGACCTTTTGACTCAATGCAGGGTTCTCCTTGATCTATGCCTTTATTTGGATTAGGAATTCCTAGGTTTCTTAGTAGTTTCATGGACTTACAAGGGAAAACGTTGACTCCAGAGGTTGCAGTCATCCTTGTCGCTGTTGAGAAGTTTGTATTTTATTTTTAGCTAAAACTGTTCCTTCTAGTTAAGGTGAACCACTTTCAGTGAGTCAAACATGGAACCAGAATATTAACTTGGAGTAGGCTTTAAAGATCCTCGTGTGTAATGGTATTGACATTTCTTTTTAAGCAGCAGAACCCTCTCTTGGAAGGAAATCATTCCAGGAAGCTATGAAAGAGTTTTGAGTAAGGGTGGGGAGTTCAAGTTATCAGCAACCCCTTAGTCTCTTCTGTACACCCTCCTCCACCTCTCAGTTTTTTTTAATGAAAATCAGGCTCAGAGAGGTAGAGTGATTTTTCCAGGAGCACATAGGATTTTGGGATCAGAGCGAGGCTTTGAGCTCAGGTCTTATACTGGATTGCCTAACTCCTAGTCCACTGCCCCTTTGACTAAACCAGACAACCAGTTCTATCCAAACTCCTCCAAGAAAATTCTCAAGACATTTCTTCCCACAGCTGAACAGGTGAAGTAGAGATGTTAGAAAGCAAATAGCACGTAAACATGAACATTCATACGTGGGTGAGGACCAAATTCTTTTTGCTGCTTGCAGGTCACTATGACAAATGTGTCTTCGCTCTTCGAGAGGAGAATAAGAGTGACATGAACACTGTACTGAACTATATCTTTTCTCATGCTCAAGTCACCAAGAAGAATCTTCTGGTCACAATGCTTATTGTGAGTACAATTTTTTCAGAACCTGTAAGGATGCTTAATAATATGAAAAAAAGTATTTCTCCTTCTGGTGACTGTGGTCAGAGGAGAAGCTCCTGTCTTTTATAATTGTGAGATGAGTGGGGCTCGGGTTGTGGATAAACAATTTCTCACATCTGTCTTTGTCCTTGACTGAAGGAACCTGCTTCACTTAAGAAAGAATTGTTCTGGCTCTTATGCATACAGTCATGCACAGGGACTCAGCTCTCTTGATTCTACTTAGGCCCTGTGCTTCTTCATTCCTGTTATCACTCATGACAGTAGCTTTAAAATTTAGTCTTAACCAGCCAGTGCACTTTTTCATTGTAACTCTGGTTTGTTCCATGAATATCAGCAATGGTTCTCATGTCCAAAACTTAAAAGCACAAATCCAGTGCTGTCGTTTCCCTACCGAAGGAAGATATTTAAATGTATTCTGTATCTTCTTTGATTCCTTTCTGTTTTATTCACATGGAAATCTAAGCTCAGTGTTATTTGGGGAGTAGATGCATGCTTTTGTCCCCATAACCTAATTTGACAGTAGAAGGTGAGAATGAGCAGTGAGACTAGTCTTTGTGGATAGGGCTAACATACATTTGACTAGTGGATGGAATTTTTGTGGACTTAAGGGTTTTTAAAGATGATTTTTAAGTCCTTCATTCTTAGATTTTTCTGTTAATTCTAGGAATCAGAGAACAATAGGACTGTTCTTAGAGTCCTTCACCCCATGAACAATTGCCTTGTTCTTGCATGTGTGTCTTTTTTGGTGGACTAGAGTATCTTTGGCTTCTAGAGTTTCCTTTCTTGTCCCTTTGTGAAATTGACATTTTTGATACCTTAATTCCATTATTCCTTCTTGGAGGAAAAAAAGCTATAAATTTTCACGCTTTTTTAAATTTCATATATCAGAATGAAGGGAAACTATCCACCTCACATCTCTGGTTAACAACAGTGCCAATCATTCAGCTATCTGCCTAGCTGGTTAACTGGACAGGATATAACGTTTTTCAGAATACCCACTTTTAAAAGTATGTAATTGCAGGGAGAGTTCATTACCTTTGCTAGCCTAGAATGGCTAGATGGTAGGGAAACCAGGATATGCATTTGAAAGGAAAAAATATATCAGCACTATGTAGCATTACAGTTTCCCCAAGTGCAGGTTTTGACAAAGAAGTGATATTATCTGTGGCAACTTGACTGATTTTTTTTTTTTCCTCAAAGAGGGAAGAAATTTCTGAGTAGTTAGACTTTTTAAGAAAATTTTAATACAAAGATTGCTAATTCTCATTTGAATAAAGCCAGGACTTTCTGATAAAAAAGGGTAATGATAAGGGAGTAGAAGAATCTGCCTGTTTGACCCTAAAATGGGGTGGAATTTGCCTTCTTAGGAAGCTAATTATGGCGAGTTTTCATTTTATTATGATTACCTTTTTAAGGACTTAACAGTTTTCTGCACTAAAAATAGACCAAAGCCCAGAATCCTTGGAGCAGCAGAAGAGTAATGATCGTCTAAGACTGTCGCTGGGTTTCTTAAATTCTAATTTGTAAGATATAGGGGCTCGGCTCGCTCCTTTTGCGGAGTGATTGTAAGTAACGCTTGCCTTAAGAATCTCATTATTGGAACACGGAGCCATATTTCCTCTGAGAATTCTGGAGTAGCTTTGAGCCGGGGCTGTTCATTTCTCAAGTAATCACGCTGGTGTGATGGAGAGAGAAAATGGCAGCTGTTCGGAGCTCAGGCCTTCAATTTTCTTCAGAGTCCAGTCACTCAAGTGTGTAATTACACGGGGGTGCAGCCGAGGCGTTGGGCCCTGTCAGAGAACTGGTTTGAGGCTTTGCTTTCTGCTTTTGCCAGTCGGACAGGCAGAAGCCAATGGGACTCTGACTTGCTGCTGTTCTTTTTCTCCCCACCTTGTCATCCTGATTACTTCTTACCTGCATGGATAGTGCCCAAACTTTCTTTCCAACAGACTGAGCACTTTGTTAGTGTTTGGGTTTGCAGGAATAAGATGGGGAGGAGAGGAACAGGAGGAGGGGGGTGCAGGGAGGAGGAAGGTTGAAGATGTGAACCAGAAAGATGGATTTGTCCTTTTCTTTGTTTTGGCACTTCACATTTTTCTTTTAAAAAGAAAACAAAACTTGATAAACATAGGAGGCTTTCATATAATTAACTTGAAATATCAGCTGTTTTCACCTCATTTTAGTCATTTGGAAATCAAGACGTTAATTGGTATGATTTAGCTGAGGGCCTGCTAGTGGTGACGTAGGATCGGGATGAAAGCTCAGAATGTGCTCCTTTCTGCTCTGATATTAATGAATGCCAGGCATGGGCCTCCTCTCTCTTTTCGTGGCAAAGGTCAGGTCCCCTATCCCGTGTCTGCATCACTGATGGCAGCTGGTCAAAGCCATTTTAGTTGTTTGGATTCCTCTTTCTGTAGGTCTGTCTTTTCCAGGTATCACCTGGATCTGGCAGCACTTGAATCCCCTAGTTTGTATTCTCAGCTGGTTTCACTTTCTTTGCTTACCTTAGCTTCCTGATGGATGGTTTTGTGCCCGGCATTCCAATCCCTGCTTTCTAGAAGTAGGAGTGTTGATGGTGTGCTTTGCTGAGCTAGATGATGATTTCTGGGGGTTTTGAACTTAGAGTGAAGGCTCAAGAAAATCCGGACTTCTGTGAATCAGTGTTACGGAACGTGGGTTGCTTCAAGGAGGCCTTCATCCCTTCCAGGTATTAGCATAACTTGCCTAGTGATTACATGCCTCAAGGACTCACGAGCAAAATTCTTCTAATCTTTGACCCTATTGGGATAGCAAAATATCAAATAAAAGCAAAAGTTCTGTCAGGTTTTCTCCATTTTGAGGAATATTGTGCCACAGTAGAAAACAAAGTCTGGAAGATGAACAATAAGTGTATTATTTTGAAAGCTCTTCTTATTTCTTTAATTTTCTAGGAAACAGCTTAGTACATTGTTTATGCTTACTAAGAGATATTTAGGACACTCTTTAAGGCAACTTAAGCAATTTTGTACCAGTAAAATGTATCAATACCCTCATAGCTGTCTAGATAGCGGCGTAGTACATAAGGACTACTTGAGTAGTTATCTCCTCGCTACTTATATCTTATTTCTGATATGGTCCACAGGAACATGATCTAAGCCATGCTTCCTTGTGACTAATGCCACACCTGCGAGCCTGTTTGCTTTAGGCAGGGATCATTTAAAATGCTAATCAGTGCCTTTTCTCCCTCCTCTTTACATGACTGCAAATAATTTTGTTCAATGTGTGATAAAGAAGAATGTTTTTCTCAGCAAACCTGATTTACTGAATAAGCTATGGTTGGAAGAAGCTACCAGACCATTGCTGGTATTGGGATTAGTGCCTCACACAGTTAAATGTTGTTAATGTCTTGAGCTCATTACACACTAGGTCACATTCTTTTCATTTTGAATTGCCTTCATATCTTAAGATGCTAAGATCAAGTTGGATTACCTTCTGTTCTTCTGGCCGTCAGTTGTGTAACTTGGCTATGGTTTTGATACTTAAGCATGTATGTTATATTCCCCACCATTTAGCCACAATCAGGTTAAGAAAAAGAAGTACTATGTGGTACCAATATTAACCGATACTGAATAATAATTTTCCCTTGGGCCTGCAGATGTATGCAAGCGTCCTGTAATCCCAAAAGCAGCAGGTAGGCTTGTTAAATTAACTGCTTTGGAGTGAGAAAACATCTGACATAGTTACCATTTAATGTCGTTGCAAAATGTTCACCAGGACTAGATGGTGATGTTGGGCTGTCTAGTTGCCCCAAGGAAGTCTGGACAAGTCTTATTTTTGGATGTTTTTATCTTGGGATGGATGGTTCTGATGAACAGAAAGGTTTTCCCTGGTGTTTTTTGTTTGTTTTTTAAGAACATTTACACTGTGTCCAGGTCAAGTATGAGACAGGGCTGCAAAGGTTACACATAAGTTTTCTATTGCCAATCTTTGACTAAGTACTAATGATGACAATTGAGAAAATAATATTTGAATGGAAAATTTCCAAGTCAGGATAAACTAATGCAAATAGTGGTTTATTCCTACTGTGGAATAAACAGCCCAAAAAGTCTGGTTTCTATACTTTATCACAGAGCTCAGGAAGATTGTCATTTGGTGATACTGAACGCATACTTTATTTTCTAATCTCCATAGTTCACTTTTCTTACAGATACTGTTTCTTCCTACCCTCTTTCTCACTCCCTTTCTCTCCTAGTGGAAAGATTAAATTTTAAAAAGTTTGTTGTTTTTTTAAAGTGTGTGTTTTGCTTTTTAATGTGGGACAGGATGTGTAGTTAAGATAGTAACTTTATTTTTACTTATTTATTTTAATCTCAAAAGGTAAGCCTAGATTTTCCTTCAGGGAAATGGTTGGGTAGGTGGCTAGTGTTCTCATTTTGTTATGTTGGCTTTTGTTGTTAATGTTGAGACTTCAGTCTAGCTTTTTGCAGAGTAGCATTACCTAGGACATCTCTTAGGTTTTTAAATATTTCAGTGGGTCAGTGTGATGACTGAAGTGAGGACCTCGGAAAGGAATATATTTTCTCTATTAGGAACATTGAATAAAAGGGATTCATGTAGGAAAACCTTAACTTGGTTTCCTTATACACTGTTATCTATTCTTTTCCTTCTGTCCTTTTATGGTCTTTTCTTGGTAATTTTATATACAGGGTGGGGTAAAAGTAAGTTGTAAAACACAATTTATTCTTATATTTTTAAATTATTGTATTTTACATAGGAACAACTGTAAATCTATTTTTGCCTCACTCTGTATTCCCTTGAAATTCTATTTTGCTTGTTGGTTCTCAACAAACGATGAGGTGCATTTTCTCCCTCTTTGCATTTATGCCTTAGGATAGGTGGGATAGGTTCTCTGGTCTGTGACTGACTACATGCTCAACCGAATCCTGGATTTATAGTCACTTACATAGCAGCTTGTCTTCTTCCCACTTAGATGAGTGAATTCCTGCATTAAATGAATGAAAACAAGACGCATGTGTACTTCCTTAACTATTAATCACATCCTGTATTTTACAACTCAACAGTAGGAGCAGAGCTCCGGATGGTGGGTTGGGGAATCAGAAAGTATTCCTGCTTTGAAATGTTGAGAAGCCTTCTTTCCAGCATAGTGATGTTGAGCACTTCAAAACTATGACATGGAAAGTAGTAGGGGTTGTAGGAAAAGTATTGTGGGAAATTAACATCTGCTCCAAAAGCCAGAAGTCCCAAGCTTTTATTTATACAGCTGGGGTCATGGACTATAAAGACTCTCCTGAGATGGGGAAGGTCTAAGTATGAATCGAGATTCTTCAAGAAAATGGCTGGTAATCAAGGTAAGGAGGAGACTAAAAAGCAGCAACAGGAAGTCTTTTAGGATCTGATCATCTTTCATATCCTATGGATAGTTAGGGGAAAATAAAAATTCACCGAATATAAAGGCAATTATTTCAAATTTCAATTAGAGGGAACTGCTAGTATATCTGAACGTGTATATTTTATGTGGTTTGGTATTAAGAGCTACTACAAGTAGCTCTGTGACTTTAAAAAAAAACTTTATAAAAACCTTACCTGCTGTTTTTCAGCTTAGATGAAAATTACATGGATGAATTGAGGGAATAAACTGACATTCCACTGGAGAAGAAAATTTTTCTCAAAATATATTTTTCTTAACAATTTTTAATTCTTGGGAGGGAAAGGACCCAGTGCTGAATAAACCATGTATTGTATTGTATTATAGGAGCTGCTTTTTTCCCTTCTAATCCATCTAAGGATTCACCATGTTTGTATATTGTGGAATGATTCTTATATAGTGAGAGGATAAATGACTTTTGGGTACAGAATTGTCAGAATATGAGACGGTGTTTTTATTTAGTGTGTGTTTATAAATGAATACTTTGTTCTTGTGTTTCTGTTTTGCACCCTCCTGGGATGCTGAACATTTGGTTTGTGGAATGAAAATCACTAAGTGTGGTTCCTTTTCCTTACATTTTGCTTTCCCCCCCTAAAGTGGGAAAAGGAATAGGAAGCCTTAGTCACTATATTATTTAAAACCTCTTAACACAACACCTGTTATTTCTTAACTCAGAATCCCTTGGCCCCTTTTAATGATCTCTGATGATTTCTCCTGCATTTTAAAAGTAGAGTGTTGGTTTATAAAGAAATACACTTGGAATTTTGAATCTGAATGACAGAAGGATTTAGGCTTCTTCCCCTAGCAGCAGCAACTTTTGGGATCATCTTTATCGCATTGTTTGAGATGAAAAACAAAAGAATACCGGGACGTTTGCATTTTTTATTACCGTAATCCAGCTGTGTTGACTTTGTTTTTATTCCCTTTCCTCCATTTCAAAGTCCTAACCACCTCAAGTCTTCTCATGTGGATATGTATGTTCTTTCCCACATAAACTATCAGGATCAGTTGTGTGGCCGGGACCCTACGCTCACTGATGAGCTGCTGAATATCCTCACAGAGCTAACTCAACTCAGTAAGACCACCAATGCTAAAGTGGCACTGCGAGCACGCCAGGTAAGGACGCTTGTCGGTTATCACGAGGGAGGGATGGTTTTCGTAGATTGGACAATGAGCTTTTACTCCAACTCACAAAATGCAGATGTCTATGTCCATTGCCCTCAAAACAAATGTTTTCGTGTGCTATAGGTTTTTTCAAGAGAAATGAGATTAATGTTGAATATCTTTAAAATAGGAGCCCTTTCCCCATATAAAATCCTATTATCGTTCCCTATCCTTCCTGCTAGCTCTGTGATGGTAAATCAGGGTCATGTGGAGGAAGGCAATAGACTCAAGATTTCTTTCTTCTCAAAGGGAGCTTAGAAGCAGGTGAGAACTTTTAAGTGTATAGAAAAAGAAATCAAGTGTGGAAAGCAGAAAGATAATGAAATGAATCTTAGGTGCTAGCAATCAGAACAACCCCAGAGAAGTCCAGTTAGTTTCACCCTGTAGTCTTCATTTCCATTCCAAAAGGTTTCAGCAGGGAAGCCAAGAGTTGTCGCTCCCTTTGTGTTTCAATGCGTGGTCACTGACAGGGAAGCAGCTTTTGAAGCTGTTCAGTGACCTTCTGCTTTCTCTACAATTGTATCCTTGTCACTGAACTACTCAAAGTTATTGAACCTCTCAGTGACCTGCTGAGAGTATTCAGGTCCTACCGTGTCCGTGTTTGTTTGTGACACTGCTTTCACTCTCTCTGCCCCTCACAAGCATTGGTATTACATCCCGAAGCCTTTTCCTTGATACTGAGTACCTGGGGCTGTCAGAGCAGTTTTTCCTAGTCTGTCTTTCTACTTCAGAGTTGCAAAAGACTAGCTCTGCTGCATCCACCTTCCCCACAGCTGCTCCCTGCCAGACCTGATTCCCAATTAACAGCTAGTCAAGCAGTCCCGAGGACTAGCGGTTTTGCAATGGTAAATCACATGCACTGATGGAACTTGATTGAAGCTGTTTTCTCTCTCTTCCCCCAACCCCCTATGGGAAATTGCCCACAACGCAAATCATGGTGAGAGTCAACTGAGATGCAGTATTTGGTGGCATTGGCTTTATGTTACAGGACCTAGAAGTTGTTTCACTTGGTCTCTGTTTTATCTTTGACGTCTGCACTTAGAGATTTATATTTATTGCTTTTGTATCAGAGCTGCCTAATAGGAGCCTAGAATAATCACTCCCTCAAGAATTTATGCCTCTTATTTTGCTCTCACTCTAGGTTCTTATTGCCTCCCATTTGCCATCATATGAGCTTCGCCATAACCAAGTAGAGTCTATCTTCCTATCAGCTATTGACATGTACGGACATCAGTTTTGCATTGAGAACCTGCAGGTATACTTATAGCCCTTTTCTACACCTCTCTGCACTCTTGTTCCCTTTACTCCAAGCATTGAGTAATCAATCAATCAATTTTGATTTTTTGTACAATGAAGTTTTATACCTTGACTTTCTAAAATGATTTATACTTATGAAATTTTTTTCATTAAAAATACTGTTAGAATTGTGGCTTAGCTTAAAAATCAAATAGACTTGCCTTGATAGAAGTGTCCTGTTGAAGTCTACTACCTCTTATGCTTTCATTTTATTTTAATGCTTACTATTAGGCTTTATATAGAGCCGATTTTATAAAAAAAAGTACTGGCTAATTTTGCTAGTTGCAAGTATCTTGACTATTATTTTTTAAACAACATCATTTATTCAGGAATGACTTTCATTTGTCTATCTGTACGTAAGGATAATGTTGTTATACCTAGCCAAGGGAATCTTCAGGCTTTTTGTCAGATTTCCTTCTGGGGAACCTAGAGAGGGAAGAAGGATGTTTTTGTTTATTTGGTTCATAGTTAAAATAGAGGACTTCAGATGGAGTTCAAATCTATAGTTTACCATAGTGGAGTATTGAGACAATATTTAAGAAATTGAGTACAGATATATGTCAGAAAGGGTAATAATAGTCATAAACACTTATATTAGCATATAATTAATGCATTCTAATAATTATTAACTCTTTGAATGCTCACAACAGTCTATGAGCATAAGGATTATTATTATTTCCCAATTTTGTAGCTTGAGAAGCTGAGACACAAGAAGGTAAGGCCACCTGACATTCATAGACAAAAATCTCAAGTTTCTCTAAAATGCTTCAAATGCTAATATGTCCATTGAAATTGCTCTCTTGTGGTTGTAATGGTTTAAGTTTGTCTTTGTACCTCCCAGAAACTCATCTTGTCTGAAACATCTATTTTTGATGTCCTACCAAACTTCTTCTACCACAGCAACCAGGTGGTACGGATGGCAGCTCTGGAGGTAAGTTTTCTTGGTAACACAGCATGCCATAACCTTTTACTTGGTTTCTGGTTGAATTCTTCTGTCTATTTGGCCATCGTATCAGTTCTTTTTCTTTGGCCTTAACGTTCTTAAGAGTAGAGTCTTCTGTTCCCCTGAAACTGAACTATGGTCTGACCTGACCCAAGTGTTTCAGCTGAACTAATCACCAGCTCCTAGGCCCCAGTCACAGGAAAACAGCTGCCAGCATTTTTTATAGTTTCTACTTCTTAGATATATTTGATTCTCCCATGTCATAATGAATTAGGATTCCCTATAACACAATAAGTGAAAAAATGTATATGGTCAATCATAACATGTACCATTTTGTGATTTAGGCCAAATAAAATGGATTTTAGTTATATCCTGAATTGTCAAAGCTCTTATAAAGTATTTCATCATGAGAAAAATAAGTAATAACATTTAATGTACTGTATTTTAGGTGCTTTATTTTTCTCACTTAATCCTACAATTATTTCATGAAAAAGAAAGTGAGACTCAGGTTAAGTGATTTGTCTAAATTCACAGAGATATAAGTGGAAGAGTTTGCATTTGAATCTGACTCACAGGATTTTCTGTTTCCACTACAGCTCACTACCTCATTAAACATAAAAATTGCAGATCCTGAGTACTGCTGTAAAATTGCCAAGTGTATGATTTTTGAAGATGAGGAAAAGGGGTGTTTTAGATGATCTTATGTAATGACATCACTACCAGTCTATTGTGAGCTCTTTTGAGTTACTCTGTATTCTGTGGGTAGCATGTAATGTATCCTACTCAGTAAATACCAAATTTTTAAAATATCTGTTTTACAGTACTTCCATGCCATTTAGTGAGAAGCCTTCTTATATATCCCACATGCTGATAGAATTTTATGTAGCATTTTCTGTGCATGGCAAATGGTCTGAAGTGCCCAAGGTTGGACTGATAGTTTTTGGCTGAGATGAAGCCCATTGCTATTTCTCAACTCTTGAGTCAAGTAGTGTGTTTGAGATGTTATATATCAAATTATGCCTTACTGCTTTTGCCTAATGTTTGGATGGTAAATAATCTAAAAATGATTTTTAAATGAAAACTGAACAACAAAATAATGTACAGTATATAATGGACTATATTACAAGTTTTTCTATCTTTATTCCTCATATGGCCCAGAATCAGCAACTCTCATTTTTCTCATGCTTGCTTCTGTTTAAATGATTATGCATAATGCATTAATAGTCGTGGTTGTATATGCTTTGAGTTTAGGTTGTATATGTTCTGTATATTCTCCTGAGTTTAGGTTAATATGAAAGGTTTATGGCACACCTAGAGGTATCCAGTAGAGTCAGGCTAGTTTTACTTCCATTTATAGTCATGGGTGTGGTTTTAAGATTCCAGCTTATTAGTTAAGGCAGGGTATTTTTATAGGAGCCTTGAGACTTCTGTCACCATAGACCACCTTCTTTCTCAGATACCTCTTTCAAGACTGTCTCTTTTCTGGGCTACTCATCTCTTACCTTCTGTCTTTAAAGTGTATTTACTGAGGATTACTTTTTAACCAGGTGTATGTTCGAAGGGCTTATATTGCCTATGAACTTAACAGTGTACAACACCGCCAGCTTAAGGATAACACCTGCGTGGTGGAATTCCAGTTCATGCTGCCCACATCTCATCCAAACAGGTGAGTTTGAGCTGTTACATGCACCTGTGCTAGCCAACACTCCATTAGGAGAGTTAAGGGGAATAATGTGTATGACAATTCCATGTTTTTTAAAGCTAAAAATGCAGAGCAGAAAATGAACAAATTTAAACCAGGAGATGAGAGCCTCTTCTGCCCACTTATTTTTTTTTCCTCCCACCTTTGACTACGAGAGATAAAGTATAGTCTAAATAAGATAAAAGTTTAGGATAATTTCATTCTTTTGCTTATATTGTGTTACTGAGGAAAGAATTTTCTAGCAGTTAACTTGCTGAAACTTTACCAGAAAATCACTTTTTTAGCAGTTTAAGTGAACACTTGAAAATATCTTGGGTGGAATGCTTTTCCTTTGAAAATGTTTGTTATGGGCTAAGGCAGTGGTTGGCAAACTCATTAGTCAACAGAGCCAAATATCAATAGTACAACAATTGAAATTTCTTTTGAGAGCCAAATTATTTATTTATTTATTTATTTATTTTTTAAATATATTTTATTGATTTTTTTACAGAGAGGAAGAGAGAGGGATAGAGAGTTAGAAACATCGATGAGAGAGAGGCAAGCAAGGTACAAACAAGGTACATGCCCTTGACCAGAATCAAACCTGGGACTTTCAGTCCGCAGGCTGACGCTCTATCCGCTGAGCCAAGCCGGTTTTGGCGAGAGCCAAATTTTTTAAACTTAAACTTCTTCTAACGCCACTTCTTCAAAATAGAGTTGCCCAAGCCGTGGTATTTTGTGGAAGAGCCACACTCAAGGGGCCAAAGAGCCGCGTGTGGCTCACGAGCTGCAGTTTGCCCACCACGGGGCTAAGGTGATAACCTAACCACATGTGTCAAACACAAGGCCCGCGGGCCAAATCCGACCCGCCAGGCCTTGCAATGTGGCCCGCACCGCGCTGTCATCACTGCACTCCGCTGCGTTTCCATCACAATGACAGTTTATGACTGTTCAGTAGACCATTCGGCCCGTGATTTAGGCTGGATTTTAGATTTTGGCCCCTTCTCTGATTGAGTTCGACACCCCTAAGTCCTAAGCCAATTTCATGATTTCTCTAAAAACAGACACCTGAATTCAATTGACATGCAGTCAGTTTTAAAAAATCACACTCCAGAAGCAAGCTGAAATTCAAGTAAATTACTTAATCAAGTGATGCTAATTCCATGATATCCCCTTCTTAAGCCCTTAAAAACATTAAATGTACATATGGAAATTTGTTTCAGTATTGCTTTGGTTTTAAAGTGAAAACACTTAATCTTGTATACTCATTCATTTTTAAACTATTGTGAGACACCAAAAACCTAGGAATTCCACCCACATATATATACATATATATATATATATATATATATATATATATATATATATATATATATATATATATATATATATATATATATATATATATATATATATATGTTCATCTCTTTTTGTATTTCCATTCTTTTTAGTAATACCACAGGAAATATAAATACCACAGCAATCTTAAGCTGCTCCCCTCCGTTTCTTCTTTATAGCCTTTGGTTCTTCACTTTATATTACAAAGCACTGTGTCTTTGGGGATCCTTAGTTATACACACCAGAAATAGCTTTGTTCTGAATTGCCACTTCATCCAAAGCAGTAGAAACCCTTCCTAGAGACAAAGGAGTCTGTGATGAGACTTTTGGCCACTGGATGCCACTGTCGATCCAGCAGAGGTCAGCAGATGAGCAGAGAGGCATCTTCAGAAAAAGTACTTCTCTTCTTTGTCTCAGAAGATCCTTTTACTTTTCTACCTCAAAAATACCTTATGGCTGGCAGAGAAAGGTATATGTCCTTGATTTTGCAAGCACCTCTAGGTATATGTTTGCCTCCATGGGCTTCAGAATCTCATTTTCCAGAAACAAATGGTTGTCCTTCAGCAAGCAGTGAAGTACTCATGGCACACATGGGCTCAGCCCTCAGTCGTCTTTCTTTTCCTGCATTCCTTGAATAATTGTAGAGAACTACAAGCTGTACTTAATACTCTTTGCAATTCTCAGGACATTCTCCTTTTCTTCCTGCTTTCTACAACTCTTCCCTTTGGGCAGTGATTTGTAGTCAGGCTGCAGAGCTGCTTGTGATTTCCTTCTCTCCTCATTGCTCCCCTTGTCTTTCTGAATTGCTCTCCCTGTCCTACTTTTTTTTTTGTGTGGATGTGTGTCCAGTTGGTGAGGGATAGTCTACTGGAAAGGAGAGGAATGCTTCTTAACTGTTAAGAAATCTTATTCACCTTTCTGTCTTGAGGGTGTGAATCTTGATTATTTCTGATATGATTTCAAAACTTGTATACTTGTCCTTTTCAACATCTCAGGTATACATACCCCCATGGATAAAGACCAGACTTAGATAGACTGTGATTCTGTGTGTGGTCTCTCAGAAATCTTCCTTGGTTGTATGAATATAAAACTATACACTGCTAGATTATTATTGTCACTATGACTGGTATAGATTTAAAGGTAAATAAAGATAAGGACAAATAAAGGAGAAAGATAAACTAATCTCCCGACATCCAGGAAAATGTAAAAATTACATTAATACTTTTTTAGATTTAAAGTCCCTAATAGTTTAGGAATATAAAATGTACTATCTGATTAAATCCCAATGCTATATTTCTTTTAGAATATAATTTGTGCAATTATTACAACTTGAATTTTGTTTTAGAAGATTCTGTATTTTCTTACAAAAGTTTTTATTAGTTTGGAATTGTGATGTTATTCTGACGACAAGTGGCAATTCACTTGTGACACTCACCACCTCCAGTTAGAGCAGATGCCACAAGTTAAGGGCTCAGTTTTCTACAAAACTGCTTTACTTCAGATGGGGCCACTGCATTTTTTGACCAACTGGCTACAAATTTGAGGGCTCCCATGACCCGCTCAGGTTCAACAATTCACTATAACATCTTTTTTGATAGAATTAAAGAAAACACTATGCTTATGATCACTATCTATAATAATAAAAGGGTAATATGCTAATTAGCCCGGATATCCTTCCAATGAATTTCCGGACAAAGCCAGGGCTGCGAGGGCCGAGGAAAGCTGCCATGGCTACAACCGACTAATGGGTATATGTGTATGTGTGTGTGTGTGTGTGTGTGTGTGTGTATATATATGGAGAGAGAGAGAGAGAGAGAATATCGATGTGAGAGAAAGACATCTACTGGCACAACCTCTTAGTTTTATGTTGCTTGTTCTTAGTAGTTACAGAATTATCCACAACTGATATTATAGATATTCTTCTATGACATTTAATGCATGCTTTAAAAAATATTCAATGAGAACAGAGGCATATGAATATTCATATTTTACTTATCAATGCAAAACAGAAGTTTATATATAGAGCTTTACAATCCAAAAATTCTTGGGGAAGGAAATAGATACATTCTTTAACCAATTTTTGCATTTTCTTTCCTGACACTTGGTCTTCACTTCCTAGTCATTCATTTGAATTGGACTAAATGTGGATAGCAAGTCCTTAGAAGTGAATATCTTTCTGAGATATATTATCAACACAAGACTGCAGTTTCCTGTTGCATACAAGGTCACGTGGTGAAATTCCATTCCTGCAGTTTGTTTTTGATTAGTGATTTAGCCCTCATGGGTTGGAATGAAACATGGCTTTCTGTCTGCAAACTGACAACAGCAGAGTATTTTTTTTTTTTTTTCAGGAAAATGTCTTTGATAGTGTTTGGGTTGAAGACCCCTATCCCATGAAGAACATGTTTTGATTTTTAGGGAAGTAGGCAAAACACAAGTGATTTTTCATTGCAAATAAGCCGAGCAGCCTCTAAGAAGGGAGAAGACCCTTCCTCCCACCCACCCTCCCCCCCCTCCTTTTTTTCTTTTTTTTTTTTTTCTTTAGCACACTTAGGTAGTTATTGGGTAGCCAACATGTTTGATCCTTTTTTTGTTTAAATTTATTATAGGGCTTTGTATTGCTTGAAATGTTTTAAAATTTTGAAAATTTTTTATTTTATTTTAGTGTGGAAAGAACACTTAACATGAGATATTCTTTCTTAACAAAATTTTAAGTAAACAATATTGACTGTAGGTACAGTGTTGCACAATAGATCTTTCGCACTTACTTTTTTGCTTGGCTGAAACTTTTTCCTGACATTTAGTTACTCTGTTTCAATGTAATTTGTGTTTGTTTTTCTAATACCGCTCTCAATATTTTTTTTAAAAAGAAGCAGATGACTAAACAGTTTTTATCTAATCTCAAGCTTTGTGCAGTGGCAGTATGATAGCCAATGAAGTTTATCCAAAGAGCGATTATTGCTAATTAAAAACTATGGAGAATCTCAATGGCTTTTTGCATCATCTTTCTTGCTAGATAGGCTTCAGTCAAGGTATGTTATCTTCTTCTTGATCTTCTATCCAAGGCTTCCAAGTGTTTTCCTGGGAGCTATAGTTGCAATTTATTTAACATTCCAAGGTCTTATTCACTAGAGGACCCAGTTATTAGAGCTTCACTCTAATATATAAAACCCTTTTCTTCTTCAACTTCCTTCACTTGAATAGCAGCAGCTGTAGAGATTTTCCTGTCTTAAGCATAATAGGAAATCTATGCACATGTGGCATATGTGTGTTTTTCTTTCTTTATCTTCTTAGCATTTAAAGGCTATGTCCTACTGTATATGAATTTTTTTGAGGGGAGGGGATTTTTTTGCTTTTATTCTTTTTTTAACAGTGACTTGTAATCAGTTAGCAAATGGTTTTTAAAGGAGAAGTGAGTGGGTTTCTTCAGTCATTTTCTTGGTGTAGGAATAGTCTGGATGGCTGCTACTCTGTACTAAGAGAACTTTTTGTTATTACCCATACTTTCAGGACTTGATTCTTTTGCCAAAGACTCTATCAGCACAGCTCTTTGGTGAGTTCCACCAGTATTTTACATGGATTAATCCCAGAGCTCAGACTATATTATTAAGCATTCCTTTTTCTCCTTCTCCAGTTAGGCTTGGTTT